GCTCTGCAGTTTTACTGGCTTGGCCAGTGGTGGTTTTCAACTGCCTCTGCAGTGCCTTGTTTTTTGCACTCAGAGTTTCGGCCCAGTGCAGCACAGACTCAGGAGACATATCTGCCCTGAAGGCCTCTCTTAATACTTTGGCCTTAACTTACAGTGTAAGGTTGATGGTTTTTACTGCCTGGGTGGTTGTTGTTTGAAGAAATGAATGGGTTCTATGTCTATGTTGTTAGGAGCAGGGGGGGTCTGGTGGTTCATTTAAACCCCCAGTGTATGTCTGGTCTCAGTTACATCTGAAGGTCACAGCTACAGCTCCACTGCCAGTGCTTTAATATTGCCATTCTGGACTTAAGGGGTCTTCCACACTGATTAGTTTTACCTGAGAAAGATGTGGTGTGTGTGTGTGTGTGTGTGTGTGTGTGTGTGTGTGTGTATTTATGTGTATTTCTGAAAAGCACATAGACAGAGAGTGAATTTATTGATATCCGTATCCGTGTTTTTACCGTGGATATTTGCTAGTGGTGATGTATGCGTGTCTGCATGTACATCTGGATAGGCTGGCTTGTGCTATAATTCACATAGCGTCATTAAAATGCTAAAACTTTTGGCTTTAAAGTCACAGTGACCCGTGGTCTGCTGTAAGCACCAGGACCTGCATACTGAGCAGAGCTCTGATTGATCTGCTTAAGTAGCTGCAATTAACAGAGATGTTCTTCCCCGAGTATCGGCCCTCTCTCCACCGCACGCGTGCAAACACCCAAACATGAACACATACTGTATATGGTCAACAGATGAATGAATTTGTGATTTAATGCGTTTGATCCTAATGCGGAGTTAGCCACCTTTGACACCCAAACTCCACCCATGACTGATTATGCATAGAGTAATTTGACACCTTACCCCTTGAACAGAAAACAGATGACATGAAACGATGAATATAAAGCGGAAAAAAGGCCGATTCCACTGAGGAAAGGTTGCTGAATTGCCTGATGAAGACGACCTTTGTTCTAAATCCTAAAAGGCATTAACAATTTAATGAGTCGCCTCACATCAGTATGGAAGGTATCTCTATGCTTGTGTTACGTAAAATGGATTTGGACTAGTCTTGCGTATTTCTAAGACCATCGATCACAATTTGAAAGAGAAAAGACAGGAAAAGAAACAGACTTCAGATACACCCAAATCAGATGTTGCTTGTAAAGGTTGTGTTACCATTTCAGACTTTTTATCAGTGTTGATATCTTGCAGTTTGAATAAAAGAGCTGCATTGAAGCCCATCTGTGCGTGTGTGTGTCAGAGTGTGGTTCAAAGCTCAGCCCCCTCAGTCAAGAACACCACTGCCTGCCTCCATCACCTTGCCTTTGCCCAAAATACATTTCTTGGACAATCATCAAAAGTTTGACTCAGTCTGTGGAGCTTTGGGGCCTGGAAATGGAAACTGATTTAGCACCGCACTCTCAAGACAATTCTGCAAAAAATCTAATATGGTCGGCGAGAGAGCGAGCAAGAGCGAGGGGGTGAGGTGAAAAGGAACTGTAGAGGTAGCTACAACACCCTTCAGCAGACCTCCATCAGCCTGCTCAGGAGTTTTTCTGTTGCTCCCCGTGGCCACTTTCAGCCCAAAACTTTAATGTTCAGAGCAAAAAACTAGGGTTGGACCATGAAATGGGGAAAGGCAGAGGTGACATTGGGTCAAAATGATATTTATGGTGGTCTTTTCATCCCTTATCCCATATTTATTAATCTCCTAATCCTTAATGGCATATCCATCAGTTTCTGATCCTCTGCCACTGCCACAGTTATCAGAATCTGAAGTCAGTCTTTAGCTTTATTGTAGCGTGTTAATGAAAGTTGATTCCAGCTCAAATTGCACTTTAATTAAAAAGGCCGCTTTCATTTGTCCCCATGGTGAAAAGGGGAGAAACTCAACACAAGTGAAAAGAGCAGTTGGCTCTGGTGTTTGGGGGCCTTTGTATGTGCATCAGGGGTGTGGGGGGGGATCATATACTGTAATCCATTGGCGCAAGCTTTGCTACCAAGTATATTGAGCTGTGGCAGGTCCCAGCTATGTACTTAGAGCCAGAGGTGATTCTGGCGCTCTCTGTCCGACTAGTATCACTCCAAACGGACATGTGCCAGACCCTACATGAGCCCCCTCCTTCTGTTAAGTGATAAAACATCCCCCTGAGGCATGCTGACTCACTTTATCAGTCTTGCACTTGCCGTTGTAAATCAAGGCCAGTGTCACACAGCATAGCTTCACATTTCTGCCTTATTTTCATTATGCCATGTAGCCTCCAGGCCACACTGAAAGGAAGGAGAAAAATAATAATCTGATCAGATAAATACCTTAATTATTCCCATGTTTAAAAATAAAAGAAGAAAGAAACCCAGTGCCAACAAAGACAAAGAGCGTGTGTTAATGAATTGATGTGGGATATTTACTTCTATTTTTTGTCTTTAGAGAGTTTAGAATATATGGTGCAGTAACTGGCCCTGTTTGAAAGGCATTCAAGAGAATATAAGGAATATACTCTATGTTTTGTTTTTGATTCTTTACCATTATTTATACACAACCGTTCTAATTATACCTAAAGCTATTTCAAGAAAACCTTTAATTTTATTGCTTTAAACACCTAGCTGAGGGTTGGTATATCTCATGTTAAATCATTTGGTGTTTGGGGTTTTTTTGCATTATCAGAAGCAGCAAAAGTAGGTTGTGTAGAGCAAATATAAGATGAACTCAGGGGTTAGTATTTGCAGCTATATAGCCACTTTGTGATGCAGTTGCTTGAGCAGGGGTGTTGTGGAATGTACATACTTAAACGCATGTTTCACACTCATTCTGGTCAACACTCAATTTTACACACACATCTTTACCCGCTCCAAACACACAGTGCTTTTTATGAAGGCCTCTGAGGTTGTATTAAAAGGAGCTCATTCATTTGCTTAGGAAATGTGGTCAACCCCAACCGTGCTCTCGACCCTGACCTTAACCTTTTGAGATTCGAACTGTTTGATTAGTGAAGCTTGTTTCAATGGAAATCTCTCAACCAAGGGTTGAGGTCATTGACTTCACTGACCTACAAGTGAAGGGATGGAAGCCACACAAGCTACACGCTGAAAGCAGTCATGGGAGAGAGGAGAAATAATTAAAGGTTTCATCAGTGACATAATTACTTTTCTACATTCTGCTCCATTTGTCTGCTTGCAGTGTGGCTGAAAAAGCCAAATCACTGACATTTTGATACGCCATATTTCTTCCTCATTTTCTCATTGTCTTTTTTTCTCGCCTGTGGTTTGTCCTACTATGCCTCCTAAAACTCTTTTCAAAAACTCTTTTCCACTCTGGCTCTTCCTGAAACCCTAGACGTGAGTCTGTGTTCAGCTTAATAAAGTGAACTACTGAACAGTGTGGCTTATTTTATAAATGAAGGAATGTCTGTTTTCATTGAAAAAAACAAACAAAAAAAACAGATCTGAAACAACAAATCTGTCTACATCCAGAAACCTACGTGCTTTTAATTGATCCTAAGAGAGCTCTACAGTGCAGTCAGTCACGTATCTCTTCATGGTAGATCCCTGTCTGTTGTTGGTTGGAGCTGTATGTTTACAGCTGTTTTGTTCTTTTGCCCCTGTGACACAAGTTCACAAAAATATTTTTGCATTCAAAGAAGACTAGTTATTATCTTAAAAAATAACTCCTACCTTTCTCAGTCTTTTTCTCTGTTGTTAATTATTTAATCAAAATTCACTTTCCTATCTCTTTAGCTTTTTTTCCAGTGGTGTCACTGAGGGTTGGGTGGAGGTGTACCTTAGTTTGCATCTACTCTCTAGGGTGAAGCAGATATGTAGGTAGGGGAGATGAGGTGGACACAGTTGGGGAAATGTAATTTACTGTTGGGGAATTGATATGAATGCAACTTATATGAATGTGTGCATGAGGGTATAGGTGCACATACTGTCCAAGTGTTAGTGTGTGTGTGCGTGTGCGTGTGTGCGTGCGTGTGCAGGCGCACGTGCGTGCATGTACATGCACACACTTGTGTTAGTGTGTTTCAAGATAAAACATGATGTGTCCCAAAATGACTTTGCCTTTAACAACTGGAGAAATGCCTGGTAAGCAACTGCCCTCATTAGCATACAGATCAGGAGGCACTGTAAGTGTTTGTGAAGTATAATTCACTATTGCCTTTTGCAAAGCAATAAATGGAGTGTCCTTTCTCTGCAAATGCCAAAGCTGGTCTTTCCTGGTCCCATTATTTTTATTGGGCTACAGTTTGGTTAAGAGTCGTTAACATTACAATTCCCCTTGAGTGTTAGACCCTCCCTTTAATAGATCTCAAAGGTGCAGCATTTTAACATCTCTAAGTCGCGGCCACATTAATTTTGAAACATTAGTATAATTATCATAAACAAACAGGACAATCACCAGAAAGACTGGCAGGTTCTGCCAGCCTCTACAATATATTGTCTGCCATTGGACTTGACTTTATTGGAAATCATGATGGATTGCATAATTGGGTTATGTTACAAAACAGAAGCACAAGCAGAGCTACTTTCTTGCAGTAGCAAATGATAGAGTAAATAACAGATGATAGAGAAGTTAGATTCTATATATTTATTTTCACATAAGAAATAACGTGTGCATCAATTACAGTAATTCATACAGTTAAATATATCTAACACAGTAACATTTTGTACTCATATCTTATGGTGTAAACATTTCATGCCTTGACTAACTAAACTAAATGAAATATCTATGACTTTGAAATGACCTGAAACAGATTCATTAGCTGAGTCCATGTGTATCAGTGCTGATAAAGCTGCTAAAGATAATAATGGAAACGTAACCTTAACCTGAAATCATTTATGAGTGTACATGCTATGCTAAACCTTACATCAATTCGCAATCCGCTACCTTTGTATTTGCATTTTAAAACGCTCGTATGCTAATATGCTAATAATGTAAGGCGCTCTTCTCTCTGTCTCTGTGTCTACAGGTTCACTGGCCCCAACCTTCCCTCACCCATCATTAGCAGCAAGAACTGGCTTCGACTGCACTTTACCTCTGATGGCAACCACAAGTTGAGAGGTTTCAGCGCCCAGTACCAAGGTAAGAAAATGAGATGTTTTCATAGTTTGAAAGGAAAATCATTTATCACCTTCAGATCAAACTGTCAACTTTGTTGTGTGCCAGGTTTAACTTTTCTCAGAAGGATCAGCAAATTTCGGAAATCTCGAATGCCAAAATCATAATATAATATCCATATGTTTGCAAGAAATAACAAAATCTAGTCACCAACAGCCCCTAATATCAAAGATATCAACAAAACTCCATGAGCTTTCCTCTTATGCCGCCCTCAGGCCAAAACCTGAACTTTGTACAAGATGTATCTCATGATCCAAGAGAAAGATGGCCATGAAATCTCTTCAGCACATTCTTGCTTTTAAGGGAATGAAGTGTGAGACCCGAACAGAAAAACCATCAATATGTTCTCAAATTCAATAAAAAAACATCTGTGAGGTAGACTGGCATCATTCATCTTGTTTCTAGTGCAAATGAGCTGACATATCCATAAATGATCACTCTCTATCATAATTTAAGATTTTGCAAGTTTTGAAATTGTACTGGCAGCAAGAGAAATTATGTTACTATTTTGGCACAATAGTTGTGATTGCTTTCAGAAAAACAAGATTTGCAGACTCTTTATTGGAGTGTCACATAATATATATAACACACAGGCACGTGGAAAAGCCTCTCTCTGCTGTGCATTCATTTCCTGTCCCATTACTCTTAGAGGGTTCAGGGGTCAACTCTCAGAAGGGATGAGCAGGGAAAAAGGATTAGTTCATCCACAAAATAAAGGTGATCTCTAAGGATCTCACCTCCAGCCAGCTGCTGGGAATCTCAGAGGCAATGGCGAAAGAAAAAGAGGAGAGAAAAAATAAAAAGAGAGAGAGAGAGGGATGAAGAATATGGAAAGGAAAAGGCGGCGAGCCTATGGGATTACAGGTTCAGTGTTCGATAAATATGTTTAGAAGATCAGAGAGAAACAGGAGACTAATACTTTAATTAGATTAAGCAGTGACTCCATCTCAACCACCCCCCACTAGCCCCCACCCCCACCAGCCATTCTCATCATGAGAGTTCCCATGAATCCATAGCAGCAGCATGTTGCAGTGATGAAATGAATGCTGATTGAATATCTTCATTAGCTTTGTATCTTTTCTTCTTCAGTGTCCTTCATTGTACATGGCACAGAAACCAACCCCCACCCAGTCAACCCCTGCACCTAACAGCTTAGATTCTTTTCTAGGGGAATTTTTTTTCCCCTCCTTTTTGTAATCAGGGTAAACAATCTGAAAAGAGGTTATTCATTGTGATCTTTCTTTCAGACACACAATAAACAGACTTTTTTGACACATGACTCATATTAGCTTTGAATTACAATGCAGATGAAACTAAGCAAAGGATCAAAACACATTTGTGCAAAACAAGTAAAGTTCCATTGTCAGGAACCATCAAAGTAATTAAATAGGGTGAGTGTGAAGGGGTGCACAGATAATGCTGATGGTGTTTTTGAATTTGGTGAATAAATATGCATTTAGATGAGCCTCTTACTTTGCAGGCAGCGATGACATTGTTTTTTTTGTTTTTTCCGCCATTATCAGGAATCTCGGTAATTTAAACTCCATATTCTTTATTGGATTGAAATGAGCGATTTTGCTCCTTACATACTCTGCCTTCTAATCCTAATAATCAAATAATAATGTTGTTCCCTTCACTCTTCATTTCACAAGAATGCAAGGAAATTGCACATTACTGAGCTCTTTTCTTCAACGTAATCTTAATGTATGGGAATGTATGTGTGGGTGTCGCTATGGCACTTTCTCCTGTCTGATACCCTGCATGTCTCTCTGCTCTGCTTTCCTCTACAGTGAAGAAGATGACTGAGCTAAAGTCCCGAGGTGTGAAGATGTTGCCTAGCAAAGACAACCACCATAAGATATCAGTGTGTAAGTTACAAATCTTGACTACCATATGTCTTTTGCAAATAAACTGGACTGAAATTGATAGTTTCACTTGTTTAATGCAGTGGCCACTGAGTTATCAAGGGAGAAAACAAGCCAATGATTCTAAGAAAACTTAAATCTTATATCTTCTCTCCTTGGCCCTGGCAATGGCAGCTGATGTCTCCTTTTTTCTCATAGCGCTGCAGACTGACATCAGTGCCAATCATGATATGAGTCTGCGATGTTTCTAAGGCCTTAAACATTTTTGCTCAAGGATAAGCAGTGAGTTTAACTGCAGCAGAAGATGAATATTCAACTTTACTGTAAAAAAAAAAAAAAAAAAAAAAAATTATTAATACAAGTGACTCAAGGGTCTGTACAAGAAAAAAAAAAAACCCTGAACCAGTGACTCAGCCTGTTGACTCCACATCATGTGCGCCTAGCTTTGGGAGATGCAGTCCTGTTCTTCTCTTCACCTTTTCTAAATTCTTGGTCAAAGTCATTTAAAAGTTTTTTTTCAGAACTCCTTGGCAAGAGAAAAGGGTAACTGCTGACTGTTGAAAGAGGTACAAACACAAAGGACACACAGTCTGTGCTAGAGATGCCATTCTAATGGCAAATGGACAGGAGTAATTGCATTGGTTGCTCTTTTCGCCATAGCAGCCTTCTTTGCCCTTGCTCTCTCACACCCTCTGTCTTAGTTCACTGTTCATTATCCCATTTGGCGTTATTTGAACATCTGGAATATTAACGGCTTGAGAGCTATGAGTCACCTGACTAGAGTGGCACAGAGAGACGGATGTGAAAGGGTTTAAGGACAACCTGTTTAACAAAAAAGAGGTGCATTAATGCTAATCCTGCCTCAAGGCCATTTTCAGTTCATTTTATCCACTTCTACCTCCCACTTTATCCTCTGCTTTTAATCTGTATGTCTCTTGGAAAAATCACTTTTTTTTTCTTTCCTTTTATTATTGTTGCCTTAATGCTTTTTATTTTCACTTTACCTTTTTCCACTTTACATTTCCCTCTCCATAGTATTTCCACATTATTTGACTGCTTGTGACCCTTAATGGAAAGACAGTTATTATTTTCAAGTATAAGTAATTAAGTTCACCACTTCGATTTTTGAAAATAAAAATTGTTAGTAACTATTTGTACCTCAACAAATAATTAGTCCTTAAAAATATATCAACGTTTCATCCTGTAACATGCAAAAATGTCTCCTTAGTATTTTCTTCACATCTAAAGCAAAGTTTACCAAATGTTTCATAAATAAAAACTCTCTCTCCAATGCTTTTAAATTATTGAGTGACTCCAAACCCTCCTCTCAGCAGATGAATTGCCAGACTGGATCCCCATCAATACATCACTGTTTGCTGCTTTAACCAAATACCGATTTTGCATTGAATTCTTTAAAATCTAATCATATGATGTTCGTTTTATATGTAGGGATCAATTGTTTTTGAATGTGACAAAATACAGTATCGTCTATGAAGATGAGAGTAAGCCTGACATTCACAGTCTCCTCTTCTGTTTATTCAACAGTAACCTTAAACCTGTGTCATCCTTTCCGTCTTCCATTCTTTTCCTTACTAGTGCTGACACCAGTGGGGCCTTGTTTTAAATCTGTTGCCGTTTTGCCTCAAACTGGGACCCTGGCCAATGAGCAGGTGTCATATTGATTTGCCCCTGAAGACCTTTGAACCCTCCCAGTCAGTCAAATGGTTACTGGTCCTGGTTGGCCAAGTTTTTATTTGACCCCTTTCTGGCACTTTGCCTTCCACTGTTTTGCACCCTGTGACATGATTTAACAGAGCACCACCAGGGATGTGCTCTGGGATAAAATGTTCTTGGTAAAATAAAAAAAATGTTGAGCAGGTCAAGGTATGCTAAAATGAGTTGATATACGCAAGTGCAATGCAAATATCAAGCACCTGTGACTATATGAAAAGGCTGAGGGAACTGTTAGAACTTATTCCACTCATCAGCCTTTTAACCTTAAATTTGTTTGGTTATGATCAATCTGCATTAAGTGACTATTGGCCACCAGAGGGCCGAAAGTAAAAAACTTCATAACAACGAGATGTGATATAGCTGATCTACTTTTAATGTTCTTTTTTGAAACATAAAGATGGTAAAGACCTTAAATTTACATTTACTCATATGGCAGACGCTTTTAAGCGAAAGTGCATAGTAAGTGCTAGTTAGACATGTAAGGGTGTTGAGGAGAGGAGGTGTTTTCAGAAGACATCAGTCTTCAAGAAATTCTTGAAGCTGGAGAGGGACGTTCCTGCTCTGATAGCACTTGGTAGCTCATTCCACCCTCGAAGAACCACAGATGAGAACATTCTGGATTGTGATAGCCTTGTGTGCAGGGATGGCAACGAACCTTCACCTAAACATCTAACCAAACTTGAGCAATATGGGCAACACATGTTGTATCCTACCGCCTGTCAAATGCATGTCCAGTGCATTTTTTATAAGCCTGTTTATATCTATGTTAGTTTTTCTTCCTTTCCTTTCCAGCAAAATATGACATTTTAGGAATAAACAAACTTTGTTTAAGCTTTCTTTTGTTGAACAATCTGTCCTTTCCTCATCCTTTTTTTTGTCTTTTCTCATTAGTGTCTCAGATGGGTGTCGCCCAAGGACACAACATGTGTCCAGACCCAGGGATCCCAGATCGAGGGAAAAGAAAAGGCTCAGACTTCAGGTAAATGCAAGTGAAGAATGATTTCAGGAGCAATTAATTAACTGTCAAGTGTAACTGAGTAGATGAAAGATTCCTGAACAACAGCGGGATGAATGACACAACATGAATGATAGATAATATAAGTTTTCTTTGGCGAAGATGCTCATCAAGTGACTTTCCATTGAGACAAGTGATAAACATATTAGGCTATATTAGCTACTGTATATAACTTGACTAATGTATACTGGCTTGAGCTGTACAGCATAGCTATACTGCAAGAGGCCTGTGAAAAAAATGTCAAGGTAATTTATTTCTATGCTTCGTTGAAGCTATTGCATCCATTAATATAATTTTTAATTTTCAATGGGACTATTCTTGCTCTTAAGAAGTTTGTTTCACATTCAGTATAATATTTTTTTTGTCGTTGAGTTGTCTTATGTTAAAATTAAATAATAATGAATGCTTCCTACTTGCAGAGTTCCTTGGAGGTAGTAAATTACAGGTTCTTCTTTTTTAATTTAGTTTTTAAATGTTTACAGTTTACTGTTGTAGTAATGGGCCAACCTTTATTAATAAGTACATTTCATAATGTCTCCTGTGAAATTGTGCTTTTTAAAATTCAGCCCCAACATTATTCCAAAATGAACTCCCAGTTTATTGTTAATGACTTTAACTTTGTTCACAGTTTAGTTTGAATATAGGGACACTGTTGGGTACTAAAACAAAATCAGGTACTGCATCTTGAAATGTGCTCCAGCATACAGCACATTACCCAAAGTCATGGCCCATAAAGCCCCTGCAACCAAACCAGATAGAAAAATGTGTACACTAAAATAAATATGCTACCATTGAGTCACTGCACACTAATAGGCTGCCTCTGTGGAATGGTGATATTACCGGTGGGATTATGGAGTTTCATTCCTGTCAGAGCCATTGTCTCTATCTGTGGTCAAATACAGACAAATGGGTAACATCCATCTCCCACAATGCAGCATTTTTGGAAATCACAGCCGGAAAAAAAAAAATTATATATATATATATATATATATATATTTGTATTTTTTCCCAGTAGACATTTTTTCTTGTTACTCTTACCTCATCTGCACTCTCTCTGCCTAATAATGATTTTTATAAGAAAGGTTTGTGGTCCTGATGTTTTCTCTCCCTGTATGCAATCCCAACTGCAGACGAGGAGCCACAGTACATTTCTCCTGTGATGAGGGTTATGAACTGCAGGGCTCAAAGAGCATCAGTTGCCTCAGAGTGACGGACAGCTACGTAGGCTGGAGTGACGATCGGCCCATATGCAGAGGTAAAGACTGTCATGTGGGTTAACTCCACATGTGTAGACGGACAACGTGACCTCCATTTATATCTCCATAATCAGAACCCTGACTGTGATGTGTTTGCCTGTCAGTCTGCTGTCATTTTGTGCAGATGCTCAGTCTATTTTCCTCTTTTCTATTGCTATTGATTCATTCACCATTTTCACTGTGACTGGCCTGACTTTGACCTTTGCCCAGCATTCTTTTGCCTCCTGCTGTTTAGCCATGCTGGCATAGTGATGCCCATCAGTCATGTCTTCTTCACTTCTGACCATTTATGACAGGCAGGAAAAGTGGTCAGCCTCGCTGTATGGTACTACTTATGCCCATGCTCTCCTCAGTTTCAGTTTTCAGCCTCGGTGAACTGAATTAATCAGACTAAATGTGATTTTTTTTTTTTTTTTAAATTTTTGGCAATATAATTGGTTTCATTTATGGATATCTAACTGATGAAGTGTATGTTTTGGAGAAGGACATATTGATATACAAAATCCGAATCATGTTTAGAATACTAGCCCTTACTTGAGTATTTTATTTTAGTAGGTAGGACCTCCAACTGCAAAATGTATTTAAAGGGTTGCTTTCTATTGGGGTTTAACTTTGGTCAATTCAGCTGGGTTCTGATTGTCAGTCCCAATCTGAAAGCACTCAATACAGAGGATCAATTTAAGGCTTCATGTTTGTAATTACTTATGTAGCCCAGATTTGCAAAAATAAAAAAAGGACCCATAATATTTTGAAATATGCTCTGTGTTCCACCACTAACTTTTGTAAAGGAGAGATTCAAGTAGATAACACAAGCCAAACAAAATAGCTTCTTTCTATTCATTCCTCCTTAAAGCAGCTGTAATTGATGTGTTTTTAATAAAAATGTATCAAATGAAAATGTGGAACCAATGTGGTAGTATGAAAGCGGCTGTGTAGTGATGATGCAGCTCCCCTCAGCTCTACAGAACTTTTTGGCAGCAGAAGGCCCACTATACTCTACTGGTTCAACACCAAATGGCAGACAGACACAGTTAGTAACTGGTGAAGCATGAGCATTTAGCAGAACAACATATTTTTCTTAGGAGTTGGATAAAACTAAAAAACAGAGCTAAAAGAGAGTAAACATTGAACTTAGATTCGCCAGGTTGCCAGAAACACACAACTCTGAATGAATGATGTTATTGCTCCATAACTGCTGGATGTGTGAATAAGCAACAATTTGCTAACAAATTGGCCATATCAACTGAAAAGTTGATGATATGTCAGTATTGTGTTCCGAACTCTTTGCCCCCAAGTAGCCAGGAGAAAAACAAATTACAGGTTTAAATTGGCAGGTGTGCTAGTGGTTGGTTACTTGTTTCACTGAGTGAAACGCACCAAATGCTTTGTCATTCCTCCAAAAGGGCCCTGTAACTGCTGAGTGATAACTCAAAAGTTTTAAGTAATTAAGCCAAACAATCCTGCCTATACTGAGGTTGACATGTTGATAAATCACATCATCAGAAAGCGCATTAACAGAACTTATCCTTGAGGTAAGTTGGTCATTGACAGAACTGTACAATTTGTAATAACTGTGCACCATTATTTTCCTTCAAATACACATAGCCTACCGATAGGGAGATTTTTCATCCATGTTTACTTTTATCCCCAGCAGGAACATCTATGTGACCCATTTTCTACCAGTTTCCTAATTAGGGCTTTTGAACACCATCATCTCTGTGAGATTTGTCTAATGTAATCACCTGCAGAATTTTCACATTTTATCCACTTTCAGGTGACCTGCAGGCCAATGTTGTTTCTCCAAGCACCTCCATTCTTTCTTTTGTCTTGGACTGATCCAGTTGTGGCAAAGTTAAATTATAGCACACCGGGGGGGGGGGATTATATTGGTGGGGGGATTGTGCTGCGTCTCAACTAAGACATTGTCAGTCACCTGGATTAAAAAAAAAAAAAGGTTTTGGTGTTTTATGACATCAAACACAGTGATGAAGGCCTGATTCTGACACTTTTGTCTTCTGTTTTTCTTTGAACTACAAAAAAAAAAAAAAAATCACACAAAAAAGTGATGGATCCTTTTTGGGTGCAGGCCATAGTATCACCGTCAGCTGGTTTTCTGTTTTATGTAAAGAAATATTCAAGATTGACATAAGATCTGCAAAACTGTCAGTGAAATTGCCCTTTAAAAATATCACATTCCATCATCTTCATTTAACCTTTTGTCACTGTGCCTTTGTTCTTGCCTCACACTGTTTCGATGAAGATTAAACATCAGCCAGGAATAATTGAAGATCTGTAACCTAAATTAGTATTAGTCATCATTAAAATGAACAGCACTATCATTAGCTCTGGGGGAAAAAAAAAAAATCATTCTCTTAATATGAAATTCACATTTCTGGTCACACTGAGCTGTTACAATTCTTCTTGGTCATGGATTTTGATTTGCTGGTCAGCCTGCTGCACTTTGATGTCTGTCACCGAACACACAGGGTGGCGTGTGTAACAGGCACAATGATCCCCATGATTAAAGAAAAATAGGAGGGGATGTGATAGCTTCAGTTGGCTTCCTCTTTGCTGTATTATTTTCCTTAAGGTCACCCTCACTGTCAGAACAACTCGTATTAATTACTTTATTCTCACTTTAGCTTCGCCAAAGTTCTTTTTACAATGTAATAGGAGTGATCTGGTGGGAGAGGGGTGGAGCATAGAGCCACTGAGTGGGGCTCAAGCACCCGAAGGACCCCTTGTAGACGTAACTCATTAAAATCAGGGTAGCTGGTTCAGGCCCTTTCAAATACTTTAAGGTTGTCCCCGACATACCTACCCACATACACACTCACCTCCCTCATATTACTCATTAGAAATTCTACTTTAATTTGAGTGGGTGTTGAATAGTTCTGCCTTGCACACGCCCTCAGGCCTTGATAGGGAAAGTCACATTGTCCTTTTAAAACATGGTTTGCAAACTGCTCACCTACTCATTTCAATGTCAGTATCAAAGTTTAATACTCAATTTCTGTTTGTTATATGTATTTTATTTTTTTTGCCATCATCAGGTTTCCAAAAAACTATGCTTGACAGGTACTCAACCATATTAACGGCTGTATTTTGTGTACTGCGAGCCATTTTAACTATAGCAGAGGATGATAAAGACAGTCTGATATCATCTAGTTTGTTTTATTGTTATAATAGATTACACAGCCTGACAATATTTACAAAAAGATCTTCTTTCCAGTGTATTTTAGACTTTTAGACTTGTGTGATTTATAGGTTTGATTGAATCTCTTTTTCACAGTGCTACACTAAATTGGCAAGTTAAGTGTTTAGAGAGAGCACTGCAGATGATTTTGTTTAGATGGCTCTTTACTCTTTCTAATTTACCAACCACTTGCCAAACAGCTTCAGCTTTCAAATGTGATGCTTGCTTGCAGTTCAGTCAGGAACACTGACGGGACTTAAAGTTAAGCAAATGCATTTTGAATGGTTGCACAGCTGTATTTTGCAGTTGTCATCATTAGGATCCTCTATAGGATGCCAACCATGCGTTGAGCTCAGAGTTTTGAACACCCCCACAGGTTGTTTTTGAACACAATACAGCTAACACAAGGAAAATATGAAATATATATAATGCACAAGGCAAAATATACAATTGCTAGTAAGAGTAATAAGAAACCTTGACAGGTGGAGGCTGAGACGGTTAAGGAGTGACTCAGCACAACTAGCAGCTAAACAGCATCATGACTTGTGGATTTAGAAGGCAATGCAGGAGAGGGTTTGACACACACACTACATATTTTGCGGTTTATAAATGAGAAATTGTGTCTTTAAACTTTCATTGATCAAACATCTGCCTCTTCCTGTGTCTTCCTCCGTAGCACCAATGTGTGGAGGGCAGCTGAGAGGACCCAGTGGTGTCATCACATCTCCAAACTACCCAGTCCAGTATGACAACAATGCCAACTGCACTTGGGTCATCACAGCCACAGACACATCAAAGGTAAAAGTCATTACCCTGGGGTTTAAAGGGGCTATTTGTAAGTTTTCTCTGCCACCAAATGTGGGGTCTTGCTCGGAGTGACTGGTGGTGATTGTCGCTTGACGAGCTTCAGCCATGATTTTGTTTACAAGACAAGAGGAATGAATGAAGGAATGAAGTTTGAAGAAATTTGCTGCACTTGCAACATTTCTTCTAGACTGTTAAATAAACAGCTGTTAATGCTAATGCTGGCTGTGTAGCAATAGCAAAATTTACAAATAGCTCCTCTAAGCAACAGTGTGGAGTACTAATTTAGCTTCGCAACAGTAATCGCCTGATATAGCGGTGTCTTAAGTGGTGTGTTTAGCTGCCAGCAAAAAATACCCAAAATAAAACAGGAGTTCACTGGTGTTTTTGCACCTGTTAGGGAGGAACTCTCGAGGAGGCTCTCCTGGCACACATGACTCATTTCATACTTTTATAATTGCTACAGGACATTCAGGGGGCTGTTAAACACACCATGTGACAGAAGGTCTCCCATGGAAAAATGTGAGAGATAAGGGAAATGAAAGGAAAAAGCACGGTGGAGCTGAGCCAACAGAAGACAAAGAGAGTTGTTAGGAACACCTGTGGTGAGGGAGAGAAGAAGAGAGTAAAAACGGTCAGAAGAGTAATGGAGTGGTTTTGAGAGCATGCTCAGAGGATATCATGAAAGTGTCATAGCCATTCTGTTCAGACCATTGACTTTGGAGTTGTGTTCAAGGCCGCCCAGCTGCTTCCCTGCCAAATATCCTTCTCTGAACTCAAACAAAATGGTTTTACAAATCTGTTCTCTTATTGCACTGCGCCGAGCGAAGGAGAGGCTGTGTGAGGTGAGAGGCAGAAGGCAGAAGGGGTAGTCCGATACAACGCACAACCACCCAACCCCACCTTTTGCTTGGCTGCGTATAAACGCACACTCACTCACTCACACACACACATATACACACACACACACACACACACACATAGACACCCTTGGGTATACCCGGCGGGCAGCCTGCTGAAACAGACAACGGTGCTTTGGGCTGTCTCTCGCTCTGTGTCTGGTCCAGATGAAGATGGAGCGAGGCTGTTCTTTCTGTTTAGAGTTGTAATGGGCTTCTATTCCTGCCCGTCCGCACAGGCCCAGCCAGAGGAGATGTTAGGTCAGGCAGCAGGCTGAGGCAGAACTGCATACGGAGGTGGGTGGGATGTGACACAGCGCTGCTAGACTCTAAATCCCACCTCATGACATCATGACTAATGTGGGTTCTTGACAAGCGTTGCTCCTTCATAATATCCTGAAGGTACTGAACGCAGCTGTTTTTAGTTGACAATCTTTCAAGTGTTTATCCGTCAGCATCGGGGACACAGGGGTCTCCGTTCCAAAACAACCAAAATGTCAAGACATGCCGTCAGAGATCCCAAACAACATAAAGTTTATATATATACTCCCTGTTATTTTATTCCTTTTTTGTTTATTCCTCCTCCCACTCTGCCTCACCTGTTGGCTGGCAGATGTGAGATGCGTTTGTGGTATGAAACTCTATTTATTGAGTGATCGGACCTATTTTGCCAACACACCATCCCTCTCTTCTCTCCACCCTGGCAATTTTCATTAGGCACTGGGTTTAACATAGGACAGAATGCAATTTGCATTTATATAAGCTTTTTCATTAGGCCTTGCTCTCTCAGCCCTCTGAAAACATTAAGAATTTGGCGGAAATCAGTAACAGCTAATTTTAAATAGGAGACAAAGACAGTCCTTCCTTGCTTTGCTATTTTTAAATTTATATATTAATCTCACATATTACCCCTGCTTTTTATACCTTTATATATCAACATTTTGCATTATCATAATCAAATCTTATTTGTTTGTCTGTCTTTATCTGACTTGCCCCTTGCTTCCCTCAGCTACAGCACACTCCCACCTGCACCACAGAAATTAGATGAAATGAATAGGTGTGTGTGTTTTTTGTCTCCTCTTCACAGTTAAAATCCAGTACATAAATCTTTAAAAACTTTTGGTCACCTTTATGATGCATATATTCACCTTGTAGACAACCTCGAGTCCCATGCCACATCTCCCTGGTGTGCTTAAAGTCATTCGAAGTCTGGCTAAATAGGCCACAAGTGCGTCTGCAACCTGCTGATTTGATGAGCAAGTAGTAGGGGTCATGCAGACCTTCTGGAAGGCAATCAGATATTTGATTAGTGGGAGAGAGTTTATAATCAACAGACTGAAAGTCAGATGTTACAGAGTATACAACTCATAGTCACGTATGTGAGTATTTACAAGAAAGGAAATAAATTGACACCAGTAAAGCACAGATGTGTTCGATAGAATACACACAGCTGGTACATATGTATGAATGGAAATGAGCTGGGCAAATATTCAGAGGAGATTGATAGATTGATAGATTGATGGACAGAGGGATGGAAAGTCACAGATGGGAAGGGGTCTCTCCTCTGCACCTGGTGTAGGGAGCGTTCAAACGTCTGTCGCTTATGGTTGTCTTGGCGATGTCCCTGCTGTTGTCTAGGTGATCAAGCTGACATTTGAGGATTTTGACCTGGAGCGAGGCTATGACACCCTGACCGTGGGAGACGGCGAGGTGGTGGGAGACCAGAAGACCATCTTCCATGTGTGAGTGACTCCTTTGACCTCCATCTTTTTGCCTTTCATCTTCCGTCTGTTCTCTTAACTCTTTCTGGCTTTTACTCCGAACCTTCCTCTGTAGCAGTCATTTTCATTTTTGCTACTCATGTTCCATGTAATCATATTCTGTCTTTCTCTTTCTCGTTCCTCTTCACCTTTCTTCTTTTTTGGCACACATGCCTTTTCTCCTCCTCCACTTGCCGGCAACCAGCAGCACCCCTCTCTCTTCCCTTTCCCCTCTAGCCCTTTTCTCTCTGTTGTACTGTTTCTCTTTCATTTCATCACCACCTGATGCAGTAGTGCATGAAAAATAGATGCCGCACCACATTGTCAATCATCACTCTTTTCAATGTTAAAAACAAGATCACAGCCATGTGGTGCAACATTGCGAACTGCATATTGATGCTTCCTAATGGAGTTTGTGATAGCAGATGCTCCATAACAATTCACAGGATGTTGTTATTAATTGTGCTGAAATTTACCATGTTAATAAAGTTTTTATTGATCAATTTTTATGCGAGGCTGCCTCGCCCCGGTAGAACCTGGGAGGAGGTTGCAGATAAAATAAGGGAAAGGTTTGTGGAGGAGGAGTTTGTTGATGAGGGAAGATCTTCCTCACTTGAATATTTTTGTGCACTTGCACATAATTTCACAACACACAAACACTGAAAATGAACTAATCTATTCAATTAAGGACTTCATCTCCCTTTATGGACTTCTTTATGATATGAAAGCAGAGTGAGCAACTCTGTCATTGAGATTGGATGCGCTCTTGCACACGAACAAACTAGAACAATTTAGGGCCAGAGAATATACTGCTGCTATCAGCACAGTTTAACTCAGGACTATATTTTCCTGAATCAGTGGTGCAGGCAAGCGTGTGCAGGGTGTAGGGAATTATTTCTTTTGTAACTTTAAGGTCAGAGGCACATAACCCTACAGCAGCACAGTCATAAATGTGGTGGTTAATCGGCAATGAGTCACGACCAATCAAATCCCCTCTTTTCCTTCACTTGAAAGACACTGCTCACTGACAGTCTGTTAATGGAAAAGAACAGTTTGGTGTGAATATGCCACAAACGTTTTTTCCCCATCAGGGAAATGATGTCGTCATGTGGGAAGAGCATAATTGTCATGGGCAGATAGAATACTTGAAACAGGCCCCCATCAAGAATAATGCTGTAGGCAGCATTTAACTTGCAGGGAAATTATAACACACTATCCAAAGTTGTTAGGCTGGATGTTGATGACAATAGTTCATACCACAGACCTTTATGAAAGTCGTAGGAAAAACAGCTGGAAGAAAAATGTTTGATGTTATTTAACTGCATATAATTTTATTGGTCAATCAGGCAAAAGAAAACAAGGTTATAAACTAAACTAAATTTGGTGAAGGAGTGCAAATGCTACAAGCATTGCAAAGTGCAATGCAAAGTGTAAATTCCCATAAGCTTCAACATGAATACTGCACCGTGGTGCACACCATGAACACACTACTTATTTCATTTTTCCTCCCACATATACAGAGAAAAGTTTACAGAAACTCACCAAATTGACAACTTATCCAGATACTACTTCCTTGCTACTCCCACCATTCTCCATGTGCTGTCACTAATATTAGAACCCTTAATCACTTACTCTGCAGCTACACATCCTAATTAGAGTTGGGTGGAATTACTATTCAAATAGGATTAAATTACGTCTGTGGCATTGACTGATCTAGCCTTCATTTCCCACTTTCTTGGCCCCAACTGTTTTGAATTAAAGGGTTAGATTTAAAAAAGGCGTCTAAGGTTGGAATTGACTACAGTTTTAAGAGTACTTCTCTTTAATGAGAAAAGTCAGATAGTTTTAATATATACAGTAGCTTGAGAAAGTATTCAGACCCCATCACTTTTTGCACTTTATTTGGTTGTGATTTAATTGTAAATGAATGAAATTGCCCATTCTTCCTGGCAGATCTTCTCAAGCTCCTTCAGATTGAGTGGGTTGTGTCTGTGAGCTGCCATCTTCAAGCCTCTCCACAGATGTTCGTGGGGTTTAAGTCTGGGCTCTGGCTGGGACACTCAAAGACAGCCAGAGACTTTTTTCCAGTGTTTTCTTCACTGTATGTATAGGGTGTTACTTTCGTGCTAAAAAATCAACCGTCGCCCCAGTCTCTGGTTGCCTGCACTCTGGAGCAGATTTACTTCAAGGACCTCTCTGTATTTGGCTGCACTCATCCTTCCCTCAGTCCTGACCACCCCCCCTGCCACTGAGAAGACCCCCACAGCTTGATGCTAGCACCACCAAGCTTCATCATAGGAATGGTACTAGCCAGGTGATGAGCAGTGCCTGGTGTCTGCCAGGCATACAGTTTGGAGTTCTGCCCAAAGAGTTCAATTTTTGTCTCATCAGATCAGAGATTTTTTCTCATCCTCTCAGAGCTCTTTAATGCTTGCTTGATAAACTCCGAGCAGGCTGCTATATGCCTTTTACTCCAAGTGGCTTCCGTCTAGCCACTCTACCATAAAGGCCTAATCGATGGAGTGATGCTCGTCCTTCTGGCAGGTTCTCCCATCTCGGCAGAGGATTTATGAAGCTCTGTTAGTGTGATCATTGGTTTCTCCTTCTTGCCCAGTTACTCATTTTGGCTGGACGGCCAACTCTAGAAAGCGTCATGGTGGTTCCAAACTTATTCCATTTCATAATTATTGAGGCCACTGTACTCCTGGGAACACTCAAAGCATTTGAAAAGTATTTTTACTCTTGTCCTGACCTGTGCCTTGCCACAGTTTCTTCATGAAGGTCTACAGAGAGTTCCTTGTACTTCATGGCTTGGTATTTGTCCCAACATACAGTGCGAGTCAATCAATTCAAGTGGAGTCCAGTCAAGATGTAGACACATCTTAAGGATAATTAAAGCACACAAGATGTACCTGACCACAATTTGGAGGATAACAGCAAAGGGTCTGAATACTTGAGAGATTTCAGTTTTTGATATTTTAACATTTTGAACAAATTTCTTGAAATATGTTTTCACTTTGTCACAAATTTGCGTCATTGATCGTAGATTGACCATTAACAAATCTGCAACACAATAAACTGGAAAAAGTAAAGGGGAATACTTTCTGAAGCCGCTGTAACATCATGTTTTGTTTTTGCTGCTTGCAGATACAATTTTCTTTCCTGATGCAGTAGAAACAGGGCCTTTGGCTAATAAGGTGACACCTACTGTAGATAACGGCAACAAGTGCAAACACAGCTTTTAATTGTGATAATTACTGTAATAAACAACTGATCCCGGTTTCACAATTGACACACCTTGCAGTTATTCTTACAGACAGTATATTCACGTCCAACATTAAAGGGATTTCCTTCTAAGAACGTTGTCCTCTTGTCTCTTTTGTAGCCTGTCTGGTACCACAACTCCAGACCTCGTGGTCAGCACCAGTCACCAGATGTGGCTCAATTTCAAAACAGACGACACCAGTGGCTCCCTTGGCTTCAAGGTTTCCTATGAAGGTAAGGATGCTTCAAACATTCCGGTTGTCACTCAGTGAGATGCACTGGGTTTTTATTACTGCATTTTTAAAAGGGTTGTTTGAATTGTTTGAGGCACCCAACTCATCTGACATTCAAGTTGCATCAAAAGAGGTTAAGTTGCGTAATGTCATGCCCTTGTGAAATTACTTTTTCGGGATCTCTCAGATGATCGTCGGGCACTTTATCGTTTCAAATTTTCGCAGAAAGGATCAATTAGAAAATAATAATATGGTCCAGGTGGCTTAAGATTCTAACCTAGCATCTTTCTTTGACAACTTCAAATAGAATGAAATGACTTTTTTGGTCATTCACCCTTCTGCATTATTACTCACTGGTCAAAGCTGACATCATGGGCTTGTTTCCTTTCCCTGCATTCATCATCCTCAGTTTAGTTTCAAAAACATAGGGATTAAAAATGCTGCATCTGGCTCATGTAAGACTTTTGTCATTAAACTTTAAAAGTGTCTTAAAAAATATGCAAGGTGATTAAGACCCTGCACGTGCCACATGGCATGTAGCACAAATAGAGTGAGATTACAAAGCCTTTAAAGGAAATATAGACGCAAGTGATATCTCTTTGAAAAAAAAAAACACAATGGAGCGCTGCAGGTGAGTGAGGAAGGATTATCAGTGAATGAAGCCCCAGATTGCCAGTTCCATGGCAACTTTTAGTTTGGCTGGACAATAAAGTCACTTACTTTTGGTAAAATAAAGTGGTCAAACACAGTCAGCACTATCAATGCAGCCTACCTCAGATAACTGATGCATTTGTCCTATCTCCTGAACCAAATCTGTGTCTGTTTGTGTGGTTGCACACGTGTGAGCTTTAACAAATGTGAGTTAACGTGTACGTGTATGTGCCTGCATGCATGTGCGAAGGCAAGGAGAGACGGAAATGAAAGTGAGTGTGAGTTTATGAATCTGTGTGCATGTGCTCTATTGTCTGTGTGTATGTTTGTGAGCTTGCCTCTCAGAAGCACAGCGAGTCTTCTCCCTTGCCCACAGATGCTTATTTTTCATCAGTAAAAATAACAGAGAAAGTGGAGCAGCGTGCTGAACCAATGTGTAATTAAAACAATGAGTTCTACTTAATGAAGGGGAAGAAACGCTTTGAACCACTTCACCTCCCAGATTGGAGCACCCAAAATCTAATTTGCATTCTCAATTACTTGTATTTTAAGCCTGATCATCAAGTGTAATTGCAAACACAGTCATGCCAGTACACACACTCCCACTTTACCCATGCATTAGAACGTGGGTTTCACACTGGAGCGGCCTCAGTCGCTCAGCTGAGATTTTCATCATGCAAACAAAATTGGTGTTATGCACATCTGTAGGTCTAAACCCAACTACTGTAGTACGGTATGCATCAACAGGACTGGGAATAACACTGAGGACAGAGAGGTCATGTCCTTTCTAAAAAAAAAATTCAGTATGAGTGTGGGGTTTAGAGTCTGTTCAGACTGCAGATGTGAAACCAATTGACACATCGTATGCGATATTGGCTCATACAAATAAACTTGACTGTTAAAGTCAGTTATGTCATCCGGGGCCTCGGGAGATTGCAGTTTAGTTGTTCACAGTAATGTGAGTTTGAGTCCCATTACAATGCTTGGATTACTGTGGAATGTCAAGCAGATAGAGACAACAAATATGTGATTATGTCATTTCCCTTATTCATGAGAATCAAATGCTGTTTCATTCATCCCTGCCTCTGCGAATGTTGAGTACAAGATCATCTTATACCCAACACACACACAGAGACACAGATACAGTCACAAACATATGCACAACTACAGATGAGCACGGCCCATGAAACACATGTACAAACTAATGTAAACACACACTTCAAAGGGCTCTTTCATTTACTGCATCCACTCTCCCTAAAGGTCTAATTGTGAGGACCCAGGAGGCAGAGAGGCCTTATTTGAGAAATGCACTGTAGGGACTTTGGGTTCTTTAGTGATTCTGTTACAGTGACAAACAAGTGATTGTATGACTGTGTGTGTGTGCTTTTATCCATTAGCATATGCATGTATTTTTGTGTTTGTCTTATAGCTGGTTTGTCCTTCTAGATGCAGGTTCTTTTGGATCTTATACATTCCCTTCATTCCTTTCCCCCTCAGTTCTCTCAGGCTCACCTTAAAACTCACTTTCAGCATTCCCCCTTTTAAAGGTGACTTCCACGTAAGATCAATGTGTTGTCTTGTGAATGAGGCTGCCTCAGGATAGCCATACATCCAACCAGCAGTGAGCTCTAAATATGTGTTCTAAATGATGATCATCATTAGGGCTGACTATGGATTTATACCCAGCATCACCCCTGGTGCGATTTAAAATCGTATTAGGCCCTGCCATCATTTCCTGGATGGATGATCTTATTCGCTCTCTGTGTTTCCTCCCATCCGGATGCCTCGATAGGATGCCTCAGCATTCCCATCTGCAATCTGCATCCTCGCAAAAGTAGAAAAAAAAGAGTGAGTGAAAGAAAGAGTTGTGCATGAATCTTGCCATAATGAAATTGGCGTGTGTGGTTTTAAGGGAAAAGTGTGGTCATGGAGGTGTGTGTGTGTGTGTGTGTGTGTGTTTGTGTGCCTGAAAGTGCTCACGTCAGCTTCCAACGCAAGTGAGAACGTTAGTCACACAGAAAAAGGGAGGGATACATTTTCAGGGGGAGAGAGAGGGAGGGAGGGGCGAGGTAGGGAGAGACAGATAAGAGAGACGTTTGCAAGATTAGTGAGTCACATTTTTTGGGGGAAGATAAAGAGACAGTAAAGGTTACTTAGTGGCAAAGAAAATGATGGTAAAATTAAATGCATGACAATAGGAAAATCACCTTACTTTTAATGTCATGAAGTATAGAAGCTTGTCCTGTCAGCCCACAATGAACTCTTCACTGAGTCATTTATTGCTAATGTCCATTCAGTTAGGTGCATTAAGTCTTAGCTACAGCTCCAGACAGGAAGAATGTCTTCGATGCAAAATTTCAACCAAACGAGGAGCAACTGAAATAGCTCCGTGACACTCAACAGCTGCAGATACATTAACCAACCTGGTTCACTGTCAAGGACATGTACACATAATAGCGAGCACTCTCGGACTGCCTTTTATGCAAGAGGTGTTACAGAGCTGGACAGTTGCACACACCTCCTGACTTTCCATATCATGCAACCCTCACATCTGTTCAAAACACAAGCTGTAATGCTAAACAAGCACGATAGTAGAATACTTTTTCTCTCTATAATTCAAGTATTTTTTCATACCGGTGGTGCCCTAATTCAAATCAGTTGAATTGAAATCTTACTTGTAAACCAGAGTTAATTGTTGTACCACCATCCTGACATATGTCAGCTGAGCTGGCAGTTATAGTTTTTAATCAGTGAAAGTGACTACAAATTGTGTCAGGAACTGAAAATAAAAACATTAAAAAAAATGAACAAGTGTTGACAGCCATCCCAAGACTGAGCTGTGAGAACAAACACTTGAACTATTTCTAACAGACACTGGAGCTATTTCTTCACAAATATCAGTGTTTTAATATCCTTAAAAGGCTATCAAGATACAATAAATTGAGCCCATTTTTGTGTTGTTTGTTGTCTCTTTCCACATAGTTCATGACTTTACAGTAGCAAAGTTAAACAAATCTTGGACCTGACACTTTACTGAACATACAGATATTAAATGAATATTGAAGGAAACAATAATCCCAAAATGTCAGTGTGCCTCTTCATGCTTGGCACAGATAATCTAGAGCACATCCTATTCTTCAATTAATGTGCCCTTCAGTGTCCTACAAGTAAAAAATAAATTTTGCTATTCTCATCGGGGGGGGGGGGCACTGTATTTGAATGATTAGGGAGGTAATTTTTTTTTCTTGTGTATGATTGCACATGAATGCACAATTCTTGCAGTTTCTCCTCAGTCAGTAAAAGAAATAAATGAAATATGCAAATGTAAAAATAAATGTATAAATAAATAAAGCAATACATGGGGGGGGGGGGGGTCCTAGGATGTTTGTCCAATCACATTATAGGGTCAAACAAAAATCAGTACTACTCAGAGACTTTGTATTAACCAGCTGAACTTACACTTGCCTGAAACTGGAATTAATGACAAATGGCACCATCTGGTTTGTTTTGATTTAATGTGAGATCCTGTATCTCCATATGACTTATAATCTCTGCAGTTGCATCCTGTCAATATCTGCTGGAGGCTACAGTCAGTCCATAACCTTGAGTAGAGATGTCTCTCTCTCTCTCTATCTATCTTTTTAAGAAAACTAGAGACAATCTCATGTGCTATGGGTGCCCATGGTGCTAAACAATATTATTTTTTTATTTGATTTAATATGCAGGTTAAAGAGAGGAGAGAGTGATGTGGATTGTGCTAATGAAATTGTGACCTTTAAATTTATATCTCTGCTATGATACCAGGTAATAAAAATAGGTCTTTATTTGTATAACCTACACTAATGTTTCTCTGCTTGTAGAAATAATTGCTTATTATCAATGCCAGTTTTGCATAGTGAATTTTCTGTGTTATATGTTTGTCTTTACCTGCACAGAAATTGACCAAGGCAGTTGTGGAGATCCAGGAGTCCCAGCTTATGGCAAGCGGGAGGGGACAGGTTTCCGTCATGGAGACAGGCTGTACTTTGAGTGTCTCCCTGCCTTTGAGCTGGTCGGGAAGAAGAACATCACCTGTCAGAAGAACAACCAGTGGTCGGCTAAGAAACCCAGCTGTGTTTGTACGTTCTTGGATGCCTTAAGCTGCTTAGGCTCTACATACACCACGCGCACACGTGTGCATGTGTACAACACTACTGACGTGGGTGCATAAATGTGTACGTTTGTGCAGATGAGCGCAGGGAGAGCTGCATAATAAATGGTCAGATTATCCCTACAGTTTGCCGAGCAGAGGCTGTGGATTGTGAAACAATAGGAGGGCTTATTAGCTAATTAACGCCATGAAAGACAAACACAGAGAGTGAGAGAGTTAGAGGATGAGGGGGAAAAGGGAAAGAGAGCTGACCATGCAGATAATGCCTGCTGTTGTATTATTGATAACATAATAGGGTGGACAAAAAGCTGCAGTAACTAGATAAACATCACTGAGCTGACTGACAGAGAGGTTGCTGGCACTAGAGTCAATTTGGCTACATAATAAAGGGAAACAGTGTTTATTTAGTTAACATTTAACAAACTGTTTTAGTCATGTAGACACAATGCGGCAAGCTTGTCTTTGTCATTGAAGGTGATAATGTTAATAAGATGATGTGCTTTCCTTAATGTACAGTTCATTGTCTAATTGTTTGTGTGTATAAGGTATTAGAGATATTTATTTATTCAAGTGAAAATGGTGATTGTGCCACTAATTCAGCAGTTTCCTCATCAACTTTGAACTGACCTATGATTAGTTATGGTATTGATGTCTTGTCCTCTACACAAACAATGTAGAGTATTATTATTACATGCCCACTAGGCAGATATTTAAAAACCTCTCCCATTCACAAATGAGCACAGCCCCTGACCAGCCTACATCAATGTTTTTGAGGAAACATCCCCTGACAATCAAAACATCACAGCAAAGGGAAGCTAGTGCAATTAGCAAAGTAAGGAGAGTGGTCCTGATGATGACATAAAATTCTTAAACCTTGTCAAAACCCATTTAAACAAGGCAGCGTAGATATAATGTGCAGCATAAGTCTTTCTTTGCATGGCTTACTTCTCACCTCAAAATTAATATTATTATTAGAAAATCAATTATGGTGGACGGTTGAGAAATTTGGAAACATCTCCGGAACCGCTGTTTTGTGTCAGAATCGAGATCAAATAGCAATGACAGCCCAAGCGTGGTCTGCCATTTTCATATGGCTCCTTACCCAAGCACATGCCTGTTTAGCCTCGCTGCAGCACAGTGAACAAAGCAGAAATTGTGGGCTGCCTTTACAAGGAAGGCTACATCTGCCCAGTAGCATCAAGGTATTGTGCTGTTGCCCTATAAGCACATCCATTGGAACAACTGGGGTGAAGGGACAGCCTTGCCAGTAGTCAGGGAGGGAGATTGAGACCATGCCAACTCATTTTAATTTTTTTTTTTTTTTTTTAATTTTTTTTTTTTTTTAACTAGACATTGATGGGAAACAATGATTTTTGTTGTTATACATTAGAAAAGACGGATTCCTTCAGTATATGTGGGATGTGAGGTGGATTTTGACAGATTCAATAAAATGAACCAAATCATATTGTCTTGTAGTCAGAAAAAGTAAATGGAATTCGTACCATGTTTTCTGACTCCTAAACAATGCTTCTTTTTATTGTTACTTTGTTTCATTTCTTTCTCTCTCCCTTTTCTCTCTGTCTCTCTATGTCTTCATCACTCCTATAGTTTCCTGTTTCTTCAACTTTACCACTCCATCTGGGGTGCTGCTGTCTCCCAACTACCCCCAGGAGTATGGAAACAATATGCACTGCGTGTGGCTGATCATAACCAACCCTGAGAGCCGAATCAATCTGGCCTTCAATGATCTCAGCATGGAGAAACAGTTTGACTTCCTCTCGATCAAAGACGGGGGAAAGGTAGTGATGAATTATAAGTTGCTTTGAATAGCGACTTCGTCTGTTGACCTGTATATGAGTAACTGTGCTTGTCTGTGGGAAAAGCAGCCTGAATGATTATGTGTACGATCTAAACAACCTTGCTCTGATCTTTATTGCACTTGTTAGTCATTTTATCAACAGGAGCTGTTTACTCTCGGACTTTTCTCCCATTTTAGTTCATGATACCTTTATTAAATGTATCTGTCTTTGTTAGGCTGAGTCTCCCATCCTGGGTACCTTCTCTGGTGATGTCCTGCCTCCTCCCATAACCACTAGTGCCCATGTAGCACGTCTAGAGTTCCTGACTGACCACACCTACACAGACAGAGGCTTTAACATCACCTTTACAAGTAAGTATTGAATTCTACATCAGAGATAAAGGGAAGTCTTTAAAGCTTACCAGAAAATCCTGCACTGAATGGATGTTTTGTATTCTGAATTGTTTGTGCATGTGTACAGTATGTGTGTGTGTGTGTGTGTGTGTTTGTATGAATGCAATGGGCGTCATGATTCATCTGTCACATCTATTTGCCTGTCTCCCACAGACTTCATAAACCCTTTCACCCATCAGCAACACATTCCTTATACACTCACATGCACAGTCGCATAGAGAAATGACAAAAACCCTGTCTTTATTGTCTAAATAGAGACTTGACATTTAAATAAAACCCAAACAAAGATGCAGCATCCTCCCTTACCTGACAGATACATCGCGGCAGTGCTCATTATATTCTATTCTGGGTAGCTGCTGACTTCTGAGGAAATTCCAGATGGGTTTTAACGCAGTACATGTTGGCTGCGTGCTGGTAAGCCCATTTCATGGATATACTGTACCATGAGGGGTTGGCAGCAGTGTTATTGCATTCATTGCATGTGCACTATTGTGTAATGAGCCTGATTTTTGCATTTTTCCACATCCCAAAATAAATATCTCCATGCAAAGTGTCTAACCCTAAACTTATGAAGCCACAATGCTTTTTATAGTTAAGGTGCCGTTAGGAGGTTTGTTTCAGACTTAGAATTAGGATTACTCACTTTCACACAGGCAATAACATTATTTTTTTACTTTTACAGTTTGTTATTTTCATATCTTCTAGTTTATACTTCTCAGCCTTAGTCAACAACAGTATTATACTAAAAGACACTGGTATTAACTACTGGAGAACATAGTGTTAGTAGTAATTAGTTAGTTAGGTAGAAATGCAGTTTGTCAGACAAGAACTTAACAAAACTGCAAATAAAATCCTCCATTAAAATAGGCTCTCTCCCTAAAACACAGCTCAAGTTTTCAGAATCTTCCAACCAATCAACAAAAACTCAACAGAAATGAAGGACATTTTACTAACGTGTGTAGCCCTTAAATCATGATATAAAGAGAAGTAAAACGTGAAATCTGATCATCTCAGTCTGATCCAAACCTGCCTGCTTCTAAAGGATTTAGCATGAGGCTCTACTCTGGGCAAAATGTTCATTCAAACTGTTTATACAAACTGTCTTTACTTTTAATACTGAAGCAGTTTGGTGGTTCTTATTGTAGCAGCGGGGAGTAACTTGATTTTAGAATTATTAGAGCAAATTTTTCATTTTTTTAGTAAAATCTTCCTATTTATAATGTGTATGTTCATTTAATCCACTACTCTACAGTGGCTGGTATTTCTAATTACAATGTGCTCTGTAGTCTGTACCCCCCCCTAAAATCATCTCCTTCCACCAGCCTACCTAGAATGCTTTTGGGCACTGGCTCTAGCTCATTTGCACCCATGCCATCAGCTCAGCCCAGGTGCCTCTGCAAAGCCACAATGTGGACAACACATGGTGGCTAATGCATTAATTAGCAAGTTAGATGAATAAATAAATAAGTGATGCAGCACGGTGAATGAATGTCAAGAGCAGTTAATTGGAGATGACGGTTAGCTCCCGAGAACAGTGTCACCTAACTGCAGGACTGTTTTTTAGGGGGTTGTGGGGCCGAGCGGACAACTTCCATCATTCATGTTAATTAAGGACATGCCAAACTGTATTGAGGAGATTTTTGGCACGTTAATAAATAAGATGATTGTGATGGATGAGGTGTGGCTGGCACTCTGTTTGGGTCCAATGGATAAAGAAGAGGGATTCATCAACACCTACACGTGTCACCTCCCCAGCATGTGTGTGTACAAGAGTGAGAGCGAGAGAGTAAGTGAGAGAGATAGTGGCAAAGGTGATGTATTTGTTTACATGCTTTGTTTCCAGGGTTATGCCTCTTCTTGTGTGACTGCGTGGCCTTTCTAACCGGTGCCTACTCATTGAGAAGTCTGATAGATAAAGTTTTTGGGGATGTATGAAAAACAATTTTCCTTCGTTCGCTCCGCGTATCGCTCAGCGGCGTCATCTGGCACTGATGATCTTGCATACGGTGTGGTTTCCCGCCCGCGAGAATTACTGCAGCAGGGTGAATCAATGTGACTCACTAAGTGAAACTAATTTCTTCTTGTTAAATGCTGGCAATGCTAAATGCTGACAGTAGAGGGAAAAAGTTTTGTCAAGAAACTTGGGTAATTATTTTAGAATCTCCATGGAAATTAGCATTTTCGCAGCGAGTATGTAATATGTGATTAGGATTAATACCAGCAGAATTACATGTGATCTGTTCTTTTTTTTTTGTATGTTTTCATGCAAGTGACACTTTGTTTTTAATTTTTTTCAAAACATTTAATCAGTTTTTAGGAATTAGAAAAGCATTTTTTTTTTTTTTTTTTGTTCATCCCTATCTCTGTCTCCTTCATGCTAAGCCCATTTTCTATCTAAATTTCCCATAGCATTTCGCCACAACGAGTGCCCAGACCCAGGTGTTCCTGTTAATGGGAAGCGATTTGGTGAGAGCCTTCAGCTGGGCAGCTCCATCTCATTCCTGTGTGAAGAGGGCTTCGTTAAGACCCATGGCTCTCAAACCATCTCCTGCATTCTCAAGGATGGCAACGTGGTGTGGGACAACGCTGTTCCCCGTTGTGAAGGTAGGTGAGGGAGGGGTTACCTTTGGTGACAACCAAGACATTTTGGCTACACACTCCAACAGTGTTTTTCTTTTCATTAGGTGGCATGAGATGAAGCCTCGTGCTGGGGACACATATTAGTGCATGAAAAGTAACATCCTTAGATTTACTGAGTTTTTAATATTGGTTATTAGCTGAGTGGGTCTTTTTTATCTTTTTATATTATATATTGATTCAGTATTTATGCTGGAGTTGGCATAGTTACAGTTGTATCCAAAGGTTTGCACACACATAAATTACATATTTTGTTGACTTTCTAAGTTAAACATTACATTAAATGAGCTTCTCCTTTAAATGTTAATGCTCTGCTTCTTTTTATTTCATGAACTCAAAAACAGAAGAAAAAAAATTTAAAGTAATGGTGGCATGTGCAAGAAGATCTGACAGAGCAGGGGAGGCTATAAAAAGATATCAAATCACTTCCAGCTTGAAAATTCCACTGTCCGAAATGTCATTAAGAAATGGCAGTCAAGGGGAACTGTGGAAGTGGAGACAAGATCTGGAAAACTTTCAGATAGAACTGCAAGTCTGCTGGAGAGAAATACAAAGCAAAATCCTCATATGACTGCAAAGCAGCTGCAGGAAGGTTCAGCTGACATAGGTGTGGTGGTGCACCGTTCCACTGTGCAGTGTGAAGAAAGGCTAATTTTCTGTTTGCTGCAGCGGTTGCATTTGCTTCTTTTCACTCCAAAGATCAACAAACTGTTTTAATATGTACACACAACTGCAGCTGTATGGCTCAAAAAAAAAATCCAGATACCAGCAGGATAAACATGTAGAGGGGCTAATTCATTAAGAGGACCATGTGCGTATCATTTCTTTTGAAAGCATTTATTCTGTGATCTATCACCTCATCAGCTGGATGCCCACTGTGTTATAGCTTATATGCAACAGACTGATGAAATGGCAGTGTATTTGTTTTAATGTTCACTCTAACTAATGATGCAGCATCTCTGCATCTGAAGATTGTAAACAGCCCAAATCGTGGATTGGTTGTTGAAATCAGTCTGAAAATGCTGATTCTCTTAAAAGTGTATTAATGCCATTTCTTTTACAAGTGATGCAGATATGATTAATTAATAGTGCTCTAAGATATTATGTCAAGGATCACTGAGATCTGAATTGAGGCTAGTGATGAAATAGAAGCTTTGTTCTTTGAAGTATCTGATGCAGCAGACATGCTGTGCTTACATACAGATTGCTGAACCATCCATTTCCCCTCTCTGACTCAGTAGTCAATAAACTATTTCCAGCAAACTATAAAAGGCTAATATAGCTGGCAAAGCTAAGATAAAGTTAAAGGTGTTAACCAGCTAAGTTTAATAGGACACCAGCAGCATAGCACATTTAGTGCAGACATGGCCAGGAGTCTAAGGAGCCTAATCAGGTTCACCATTCATGATACGCAAAGGAGAAACCATTATTAAAACATGTCACATCCCCCGTGTGCCACAGCAGCTTTGTATTCCTCTGAGACCATCTATCATACCCCTGCGTTTGTAGTGTAATGCGTTTTATAGATGTCCTTCAGTATGCTGAGTTGGCTGATTAAATCATTCCACTTCAAAGGGAGCGAGGAGCTGGCACTGTAACTAAGCTCCTCCACTGTGCCTGTGTGTTCTGGTTAAGGATAGGCAGTTAAAGAGATGCATGGCAAAGTGAGCAGTAACAGAGATGAGGGGCAGGGGAGAGGAGGTCGATGTGCTCAAGTGTCTTTTATGGTAGCGATCAGAGATGTACCATTTTCTCCGTTTGATGGGAACGACAGTAGCGCCCCTCTGTAGGAGTGGTTTGATGACAGATTTATAGACAACAGCATCAGGGGAGGAACGTAATGCATGTGTTTGTGCTCATGCACACTCACACACATGTACAACTACAGGCATGTTCTTAGGAGGTACAGTTAACCTTGAAGTGAGCTGTCACCAATTTACATTAGATAGACCCTGGCAGTAAAAGAAATAGGATGAGCCCCAGTTGATGCATGGGATCATCTATGGACATTGTCATACATCAGCTGTTTTTTTTAACTCTCTGTCTTCACCTCTTCTCTCTCCGTTAGCTCCATGTGGAGGAGATCTGAAGGCTCCCAGTGGGATCATCCTCTCCCCTGGCTGGCCAGAACTCTATAAGGAGGCCCTTAACTGTGAATGGATCATTGAGGCTCCTCCAGGCTACCCCATCAAAATCATCTTCGACAAGTGAGTCACCCAGATATCTACCTTTTGTTTTTCTCAGAATAAGTTTGAATTTTTCCTGCTTTTTACCTCCTCACAATTTCAACATGTGCGCTCATTTATCTCTCTGCTTTCTATCACTTCCTTTAATACTTTGTCATCTGTCTTTCCTTTACTGGGGGTAATGCAGTAGATCTAATGCACGTCAACATACAGCCCCTACTAGGATAACACTATGTTTTATTTAGCACATACCCATAAGTATTTCATCCTTTCATTTGATACTCCGCTCCCTGAAGATCTGAAGATATCCTTACAGTTTAAACACACACACACACACACACACAACACACACACACACACACACACACACACACACACACACAGAGAAACCCAGCCAAGAGCTGCAAGTATGTCAATGTACATGCGCATGTAAATGGAGATGGTCTGTCAAGGGGAACCGGAGAGATGGGAGAAGAGGTAATTTGTCCTGATGTTTGAGAGAGAGAAAGAGAGAGACATACAGTCGCAGGATCAAACGCCACATTAGCGTTTCACTAAGGCTTATCCTTGCGAGCCCATCTCATCCTCGTCCCTGCCACGATCACATGCCATGCAAAACGAACACCATGCAAAATGAATACAACATGTTTGTTTCTCTTTAATTTTTATGTAACATCAATAAAATATCACAGACCGCTTCATTTAGATGACATGGTTCTGAAACTAAGCAATTTATTCATGGCTTTGAAGATGAAGTGGCTCTGGCAACAAAGACGGAAACACACAACAATGAGTATGCACGCACACGCACACACTCTGCACAGACACACTCACCAAAGCATGCCAAATGTCTCAGGATTTTGTCAGAACTCATACAAATTTGAAAATTAATTTAACCGTCCTGGTTTCAGGATGTTGGTGAAAAGATAAAAAGTTGCTTTTTTATTTCAGAATTACACTGAGCAAGAACTTGATAATGTGAACTTTACCAGTGGTCTTTTTAAGAAACTCGTAGATAGATAAATAAAAAATAAAAAAATTCTGAGCTGACTTTATTTGAAGTCAGACACATTTTTACTTTTGCCAAAATCTTGTTTAAATGAGTGTTAGCTCAGCTGAATAAGGTTCATTCAAGCATCAATCTCTGTTGTAGGATTTTAATTGAGCCCAGATGTCAAGAATATATGGATCTTTTTTTATCTCTCCAGTTTTCAGTTGGTTTTATAATTGGTTGACTTGTAGATTTTTTCCCAAATTTCATTTGCCGTTGCCCATTTGCCCAAAAGCAGATAAACTCACTTCAGTACCCAGGGGCAAGAATGACCCACACTGAATCCACCCTGTTTGTTGTAATTTACTAAAAACACTAATTTATTTTGAAATATTCACAATGTAAATATTGACACAGGGCCACACTGCATTCCACAGGTAATAATACATAACCCGCCTACTCATCCTTACCATTTCAGCTGACATGCTGCTTTAATCACAGTGAAAAAAAACCTTGTTTCCTGTTCTCAGGTTCCGCACGGAGGTCAACTATGACGTCCTTGAGGTGCGGGATGGACGATTCCCGTCTTCACCTCTGATTGGCAGTTACCAGGGCACCCAGGTTCCCCAGTTCCTCATCAGCACTTCCAACTTCCTGTACCTCCTCTTCTCCACTGACAAGAGCCACTCTGACATCGGCTTCCGTATTCGCTATGAAAGTAAGAATTTAGAGTCCTGTGAAGTTGAGCACAAAGTCAAACCTGTACTCAAAGATACAGGATAGATATACTATAAAACAGGGGCTCATGCACCCATGTTTCACAGGCCCTAATAGAAATGAATCCATCACATACAGACCAAATCAGAGACACAGCAGCCATAAGCCTCGTTCAATTTGCTTGTAAAAGCTATTGAGTCATGGCTGTAAATACAGTGTCCGCAGGCTCTCGATTTCACCATGAAGCCATTCTTATTAGAACACCTATAATTAGAAAGTAAATGGGATAAGATTATTCTGTCAGATATCCCTGCCTTGACACACATCGCCGTGCTCAAAATTCCATATACGCTGCCTCATGCACACACACATATCCTGTAATTCAATCCTTAAAATAATCCTCCCCTCATTTCTACCTGTGCTGCCCAAACCGGTAACAATTTGCACTTACGGTTGGCTACGGTTAGTAATTCACTAGTGAGTGCTACTCAATGCTAGGTGGAGTGGGAAAGAGCTCTGGAACTTCTCATTGGTTCATTCCTGTTAGCCTGATAAAGGATGTTTGTGTAAATAATTTATCAAAACTGCCTTGAGAATGCAAACTACCTTTTTAAAATTCATTGACTTGCACTTGACCTATTGAGAACAGGATAAAAGCTTAATTACACTGCAAGCAGGTGGATTTTCTGTTTATGTGTCAGTGTGTCTTTGATCGTGTGTTTATTCTCTTCCTCTTTTCTTTGTCCCCTCCCTCTCTAGCCTTGCAGTTACAGTCGGATCACTGCGTGGACCCTGGTATACCTGTCAATGGACAGCGACATGGCAATGACTTCTATGTGGGCGCTTTGGTGACATTCAGCTGTGAAGCAGGGTACACACTTAGCGACACGGAGCCTTTAGAATGTGAACCCAATTTTCAGTGGAGCCGCCCCCTGCCTAGCTGCGATGGTATGTTCCATGTAATATTGACCTAGAAATGAATAGTCGCCTGCCAGATTTCCTCCTATTCATAAATGGGATTAAAGCTGAATTCATTGTTGTATGTTGTTGCAGATGAAACATGAGAAATCATTTTGAGCACTTTGCTTCATATTGCATCACATTTAAATTGCTATATATTTCTGACTTATTATAAAATCCATATAAGATGATAGTTTTTCTTTCTACGTCTCTTGTTTTAGAAGTTTTTGAAGTTTCTTCCTCATTTCATCATAAATGTTTTATATGTACGACAGTGAGCTTACCCTTTGATGTTTCCCCCTTTCCTCATCTGTAAATGCTTTTATATTTAAGGACAGTATTGATTTCTGCCCACTCTGTAATGATATTGATGATACGACTCCTTTTTATGCTGTTTTGAAGGGCATCTCTGGTAAAATGCGTTTTACCACATTGTTAATGCACGGACGAGTTTCATCATTTCTTTCTGAAAATTTTATTTCTGTCATCTTTGCCCTCTCTGATTTCACCTCTCTGCTCTTTTTTCATTTCTCTCCCTCATCCATCTCCTGCGTGTTTCCATCCGTCAGCTTTGTGCGGAGGTTATATCCAGGGCAACGTTGGCACCATCCTGTCACCTGGTTTTCCAGACTTTTACCCACACAACCTGAACTGCACGTGGATAATCGAGACCTCCCATGGCAAAGGTTAGCAGAGAAATTCCGTGTCAACACATGCAGCAGTCAAATTCAATTTCCCTTACAATGTCATTTCCCCCTACCGTGTGGCCTTTTTATTTTGCCGAACAAGCTGTCTCTGGATGACTGGAGTGCTGAGAGGCTGGCCTAGGGCTACAGCGCCACAGGAAGACTCTCCAGTCATGTCACCTTTGGTAGTGCGCTCACATCAAATTGACACAGTCTTATTTGCAGATGCTCGCTCTGTGCGAGTGTAATGTGTTTGATAAGTTGTAGGGGAGGAAGACAGGGAATCGATGCTGTATGCATTATGAAACTGAGAATATTTTCACATAGTATATTCAATAGTTTCACAAGAATCCAAAGACTCTAGCCTATAACTGAAAAACATTTTTCTCTGACTGAATTAGAAGATTTGTTGTGTAATTACTTTTTTTCCTTCCTTTACTGCAAATTCCAAATTGCAGAAATCTATTATTTATACATATATATTAATATGGTAAATTGCCACAAAAACTTGTACTTATCCAAAGGTTCAAACATAAAAAATGTATACAAAAAAACACATACTGGATCATTCTTCCTCTCTTATTCAGGTGTCCAGTTCACCTTCCACACCTTCCACCTGGAGAGCCCTCACGACCATTTGTTGGTGACAGAGAACGGCAGCTTCTCTCAGCCCCTGTGGAGACTGACGGGCTCCACACTGCCTCCGCCTCTCAGCGCAGGCCTGTTTGGAAATTACACGGCTCAGATCCGCTTTCTCTCCGACTTCTCTGTTTCCTACGAGGGATTCAACATCACTTTCTCCGGTGAGAATGGATTTAGTAATTCAAAACACTGAGGGGAGGAAGAGAGGGTCAGCTGAAAGTGCTGGTCACAGTGCAGAGACACGCTAATCATTTAGAAGAGACTGAGAGTGTACGGCTCAGGCCCCTGAGTGGGGATCAGAGACTTGCCATGACCTTTTAATAACAATAGCCTGTTTCAATTGGTTATTGACACAAACAGCCATGCATGATTAGGAGGAGGCTACCACATGTCATCCAAGTATGTCTTCTGGAAATGTGTAATCACATGCACTTGAGAATGAAAAATTAAATGGTTAACATCAAGAGAATTAATTAATTTTAGAATAGAGCACAGATGGCCCTTTACCTTCTGAGAGCATCACTTCACCTCCTTTTGCTCTCACAGTGCCTCTTGATATGAACACCTGGATGGGGTGAAAAGAATATTACATATCTGACAGTTTAAAAAAACAAATACTACTCATCTCAAATAGTATTTAGCTTTACAGGAAGGATGGAAAGCAGCGGCTAAATGGATGACAGATTAAATGTTGTTGCGATTTCATGACTCACAATGACCTCTCTGAAGAACATGATGCTTGAATAATTTTAATAACTGACATTTGGTCTTGTGATTTTTAGATGTGAAATTGATTTAGAAGGGATTCAACTTACTTAAGCATGGTTTACCCTCCATATCATTTTTGGAAACATTTCAAAGCATGTCTTAATATATGTTAAATTTACACTTTCACACATTTATACATCAAAGAAAGTTGCATTGATGGTGTGATATTGTCTGGGAAAGAATAAAAACAAAAAAAAAAAATAGAAAAAGCCACATATCATTATTACATTATTTACCGTACATTCACACCTTTACTTTATATTCTGTCTCTTTTTGCAGAGTATGATCTGGAGCCGTGTGAGGATCCTGGAATCCCACCCTACAGCACCAGAAAGGGCCTGCAGTACGGCGTGGGCGACGCCCTCATCTTCTCCTGTTTCCCAGGTTACCGACTAGAGGGTCCGGCGAGGGTGGTGTGCTTAGGGGGCAGGAGGCGGGTGTGGAGTTCCCCTCTGCCAAGGTGTGTTGGTAGGTGGTCACATGTTTTATTTTGGCTTTTGTCACTCCCCCTGTAATCCCTTCACAATGCCATCACACCACACCAGCCCTCTAACATACACCCACTCATTAAGAAATGTACAAAACTGTCGGTCACGTTGGAAGACGAGACATTTCCCTTTCAATTCTCCTCATTATCATCTCTTCATCCACCCACGTTTTGTGTCTTCATTGGATAGCTTCCCAGAAACAGCCTTTTTGACTTTGTCCAAATTATATAGAGCAGCAGCTCTAATGAGGATGACATTAAGGAGCTGAAATATGTTAATTATTGATGCTGCTCGTTGCTAGTGCTTGGAAAACATGACGGGTCAAACTGCAAAGATTTAGGTCATTGTGTTGATTCTATGATGCACCAAACCTTAAGAGCTACATTTGTGTGTTGGTATGAATATTAATTTTAGACTGATAGTCCTAATGATTGGTAAAGCACAGACCATGATGATGATTAACCGACTTGTGTTTCATCTTACTTCATGGCAGCACTTTTACTAACTGCACAGTTTTCATGTTTTTAAACTCAGAGAGTAATTTCTACACATCAAGATTTTAATACTGTATTGAAAACAAGTAATTACAGCTTAATAAATACACATTTAGCAAAGTCATATTTATATTCTTTACCCACACCAATAATATCTGATTGGTTTGAAAATGTTTGTTTTTCAGTGTTTACGCATGTGTGAAGTGGGTCAAGCAATTCCCTGACAAAAATTTATGAACATTCACTTGGCTGCCTCTTTGGCTCCTGGTTAGCTTTCTGTAGCTTGTAGCTCTTGTTCGTTTTGGCCTCCAGATGAGTGCAGATCTTTGAAGGACGACAGGAACAGCACATACCCTCATTTTCATACTTCTATCATATTCACCCTTATTTCAGAAAGTTGATACCAAACAGTCCCATCACTTACCTCATCTTACCTCACTGCATTCATAAAGCTCAAAATCTGGGTTCATTTAAATTCTCTCAGGTATTTTTCTATAGAACCCCCCCCCCCCCCCCCCAGCCCTTTTTTTTTCACTCTCACTGATGTGATTCAGAAAAGGCAATTTTCAAATAGAGCTGAAATTATTGTTAATCGTATTCAGATTGCAGTGTGATAATGATGATGTGCCACTCACCATTCAGGTATAGTCAGTGACCATATTCCTCTCTCCATCACCTCTCCCATCTCCCTATGCATGACAGCATGAATAAATACACTCTTGAGTTTCAAACATATAGCGATTGACATGTCCTCTGCTCTCTCCAACACCACCACCATCTCCCTTCCTATCTCCTCTTCTATCTCTCTCTCTCTCTCTCTCTCTCTGTCTCTGTCTCTCCCTGCTCCCTCTCTTTTTCTCTAGCTGAATGCGGCTCATCCGTGACTGGCATGCAAGGGGTGCTGCTCTCACCCAACTACCCCGGTTACTACGGCAACAACCACGAGTGCATCTACTCTATCCAAACGCAGCCTGGCAAAGGCATCCAGCTACGAGCACGAGACTTCAGACTGGAAGAGGATGACATGCTCAAAGTGAGGGTTTAGGGGGAGATATGCCCCACTCGTGTGTGTATGCTGCCTTGTTAGTATATCTGTGTGCACACCTGATCATCTTAATCCAGATGCTTCCTCCCACTCTCTCTCTCTCGCTCCCTCTCAGGTCTTTGACGGCAGCAGTAATAAGGCTCGTCTGCTGGGGGTGTTTACAGGCAGCGAGCTGCTAGACACAACCCTGAACTCCACCTCCAGCTCCATGTGGTTGGAGTTCATCAGCAATGCAGATAATACCAGTAAAGGCTTTGAACTGCACTTCACTAGTGAGTAAAGCTCTCCCTCTCAAAAAACACCCACCTTACTTTAAATTTAATATTTACATCTTAGGATGGTTTATGTATGCTTGTATGTCTTTTTCTAACTTTCCTTGTTGCCTTTGCTACATAACAATCATACTACCTTCTCCATTACCTCCTAATATTTGTGCTTGTACCTCCCTTGCCTTTCCCTCTCTCTCTCTCTTCTAGGTTTCGAGCTGGTGAAATGTGAGGATCCAGGTGTTCCTCAGTTTGGCTACAAGAGGGAGGACAAAGGGCATTTTGCAGGAAGCACTGTGTCGTATAGCTGTGACCCAGGCTACACTCTGAAAGGCCCAGAGGTGCTCACATGCCTGAGGGGGGAAAGGAGGGCATGGGACAGCCCCCTCCCACTCTGTGTTGGTGAGTCAGATGCTCTTCTCATACGTTATGAATGCTGATCAAGTGTTACCATGCTGTGTGGCTGAAGTATTGGTTTATTTGTTAATATTGCTTTGGGTTCTACTGATTGGGCTTGCATTACAGTGCATTATATTAAGTTTGGTGCTTGAATTTACTTTGTTGCGTCAGTGTAAGTGAGTATATAATCGGACTCTTATTATGATGCATTAACATGTTAGCAGCACTTTACTCTTGTAGCTGCCAAGTTGTAGCTAAAGACTTTACATACTGTTGGTAGTTTAAGCATAAACGATTCATCAAATTTTATAAGCCAGTGTATTATGTCTGAAAAATCTTTATGTCAAACTAACTAGGAACTAAAGCTGCCACAGAAATGTGGTGAAGCAGAAGTGTTAAATAGGATAAAATGGAATTTTTCAAGTAAAGTGCTTCAAATTTCATGTGCAGTATATGATCAAATGTACTTGGGTGATTTTCACCATTGGTTATGTCAGGTGCCTTATGGGATCTAGTGTAATGTTATCTATTCTGCTCTATCCTGCTATACATCAAAGTTACTACTTATTACCTATTACTTCCCTTACATCACAGTTTTCTGCATTACATTATGTTAATTCTGCTAAAATGTAAGATTATGTAAATTAGTATTTTGTTGTATAACGTTATAATACAATGTCAGTGGCTGCTTTACTGTCTGGCACACGGCTTATCCAAACCTGTTTCAGTTTTTTTAGCTGAAAAATACGTCTGACCTAGTTCCTCATCGTAATAACAATGTGAATATGCATTTGCAGGTTTAGGAAAGCTATGTGGTTTGTTTTAGCTCTGCTATTTTGGGGCATCCATTTGGTTGCTTTCCCAGCACCTTATTCAGTGCATTATCTCATCGAAAATGACTGTGCTCCATTTAGCTCATCATATTCATATTGCATCATGGTTCCAAAATTCCCCCTTTTCGCTTTATTTATTTTAATAAAATAAGACTTTCCCTATATCTGCAACACACCTGAGCACATAGACAAGTAGATGGTATATCCACCTGATCTTTTTTTTATGTAGAGTTCATCTCCAGTTCACCTGTCACTTGCTTCCAGCTGACATAAATATAGTATGCATTATTTTAAGAACGGTAAAACTGATATGCCTTAACACACAAAGAGCCTAAATGGTGTCATGGTGCAAACCCTTAAACTATTTTTTGACTCTTCTCCTGGGGGACAGAGTTTTCTCAGCCTGAAACTCAGTAAGGAAAACAGGCAGAATGGTGTTCTTTGACATCGGCCAAGGTGATTAGAATAATATTACTTGGCTCCCTTTTCAACCCAAACTGACAGGTAATTTCATGTCTGGGTATAAACAACATTTAGCATTCTCTATATCTCTGGACACGTTTGTCCTCCCCGTGCCCCTTTCACTGCAAATGATAGCCAAACAGCCAGAGTGAATTTGGGAGCAGATGAGGGACTGCCTTTGTTTGTAATGGTGGGATTACTTTCCAGCAGCGGGACACACCGAACACAGCTGAGAGACGTATAGCGAACAGTAGAGGAAGGAGAATGAAACTGAGTTGGAAACAGTGGGGAGAGTCCATATCCTGAAAGGGAAATTGCAAGGTTGAATCCCTGAGCAGCTTTAGGTTGGGCACTGAGGTGTTAGCGGTGTTGTATTTAATGACACTTAATATTAAGCTGCATATCCAATGTATATAATTGCATTTAAATGGGTTTTATAGCAAACACACATCTCCACACATTGATATCCAACTTACAGAACATAGTTTTCAAGTGTTGCTCAAGGAAAATGTTTGTCAAGTGTGTCTATTTGATTTGTAGATATTTTATGTCCGTAAATTGCAAAACATATCTTACATTAAGACAATATGAGCACCCATACACATGTTAATCCCTTGCATAGACGGTAATTTAAGATACTTTGAGGAGAGGGTGAGACAAAAAGTGAGGCACTGATTGATTGAAGAGGTAGAGAAGCTGAGGGAGTTGCACTGCCATGGTTGCATTGAGCAGTAGTTTCTTAGGTCACAAGGCTAGAAGAAAGAGATGGCTTTGTCTTACTGTGATAGATCACTGTCTTCTCCTTTCACTCCACGAAACAGTACGTTTCCTTCAACAAGGAAAGCACACAGGGGCTTGAATAGAGACTAAAACCTCAGCAAGAGTGAAAAGATTAATATGTTCACACTTTTTTCAGACAGTGAAATGAAAAATCACAAGGTCAGATATTTAAAATGGCTTCTGTAGCCAGGCACATTCTCCATTTACATTATGCATGTATGCGTGTGGGTGCAATGTTGTGTGTTTGGTGTGTTTATGCTTTGACAGCAAAAATGATCAGAGGCCAACTCTGGTGATTATTGCTGTTTTTAAATGTATAATGTATGATGGAACGCATGATGGAGATGAAGTCTAGCTGCTACTACATGAGAATTTAAATTTGCACTTATTGAAAAATGGAGCAGTGCCTTCATTTGAAGGAAAATGGACAAACCAAAATAATCAGTCAGTCAGTCTTATAATCAGAAGTAGTAAGCTGTCAATACAGGGATCTCGATCGATGAGTGACTGCAGCAACTGAATAAATGAGGCATTAATGATGAACACAACAGATGAATATAATTGTCTGGCAATAGTGAAATGAAGATTTTCCAGAGAATAACAAAACGCTAGAGGTATAATCAACCTCTCTAGGACTTAAAAATAAGAATTCAGAGCACTATCCGGCATCAGCTCTTGTCACACACAGCAAAAACAAAGTCTGCCTAAGTTCACAGCATCGTCTCAGAGTTGAACCTCCTTTCTCCTGGACCTAAAGTGGTTGGGTCAGTGCTGGATTCGCTCGTGACTCTCCAGTTGTCCAGGAGCAGTGAGGGTCAGCTAGAGGGGCTTCTCAGATGATCTGGTGACCCCACTCCAGGGTCGATGGACCAGGCAGAAGTCTGTAGGCATGGCAGCCTGCTGACTTCTTGGTCCGTTGTTGTAGTGAGATAGGACTCAGCATTTCATAGCTTAGCCATTTCATAACACACAGACATGACAGTTGAACTCATTTTCATAAAAAAACATTTGCTGAGTGATATAACTGGATTACTAAATAGTTGGACAGCTAATTCACGTTAACTCAGACATGTGCTTAACCAAGGAGGAATATCAGTGTTGGATCACTTCGGGAATTAGTTTCTTATCTCAGAAGCAACTCAATGTGGAAGGAAGAGAGAAAGTATACTGGTGTGTGTGTGTGTGTGTGTGTGTGTGTGTGTGTGTGTGTGTGTGTGTGTGTGTGTGTGTAAGACAGAGAGTGAGAGATGAAGACTACAGATCATCATGTGTATAATTTGGATGATTTTCCTTTGTGCAGTACACATCAATTTGTTGAGTGAAGCGTCCATCTCTGTTCCATGAGAGTTATTTCCTTGTCTGGTCCTTTCCCTGGGATCCACAGCAAGGATGACCCCAAAAGGTCGTAAAGTGGTTTCACGTCCTGCTGCTAATTTCATTATCATGTCAAAACATCGGCCGCCCAGGGTTTGAGACGGGTGCTTCCATGTGTAGCCGTTGTTAATTCTGACACTTTTACTGCGAGAGGTGAGAAGGCTGTTTGACAGCTCCTGACGGTTTCTGAAAAGGGCTATATAAACCCACTGTTATCTCTTAGTGGAACTCAGACAGGGGGGTCTTCACTGCAAGAGTGTGAAGGAGACACACAAGAGGAGAAGAAGAAACAAAGAAGAGAAACAAAAGGAAAGACATATCTGCAATCATAAGGGAAGAAATGTGACAAAATGTCTGATTCCCTCCGTTTATGTCTGTAATATGTTAATTTAGTTAGTTCCGTAGTCAGGTACTTCCTTCTTGCCACTCTAGTTTTTTGTGTGTCTGATGGATTTCACAACCATCGTCATCCCCATCATCATCAGTATGATTCCTGGACCTCCATTTTCCTCCTGCTTGAAGGAGCTATTTTCCTCCTAACGGGAAGGAAAAGAAACAAGAATACTTTTACCCTCCTCTTGTCAGTTGAGATGGCCTCAAAAATGTGAACAAAAACACTTCAAATCTGATGTTGCTGGAGAACACTCTCTCTTTTTTCATTCACTTTTTTGGATAGGGGTAGAGGGTGGTAATTGAAGGGGGGCTGAAAATTGCTTTTCAGTCACAGAGCGTTTCTGATGGCAATTCATTACTCGAGGCTGAAAAAAACACTCCATTCTTCCCACTGTTCTTGACAAAATGTTTTGGCCTCTGGTTTTTATTTTGTAGTTTCATAGATGTGTGTTTGTTTTCATTGTCAATTTTTTTGAGAGACACAGCTTAGGTTTGGTGTGCGCTGTGTACCTCAGGGGGGCTTGTTGAACAGTGATATGATACTAGACCCATCATACTGACTACTGCTACTACAATCACACCTGTAAGCGTCCTCAGCGGCATTCCTCTGGTCATTCATGACAAGTTTTCCACTGTCTCTGTATGATCTATTGCCTATCATGTTGCTCCTAAGGTATCAGTGATGGTTCATTTATGGCAATCGTGCATCTGTTCTGTACCCACATACTGTATATTAGGGATGTCATAACAACAGATACCTCGGTACCAAGTCTATGCCAAAATTCATTTGTTTTTTGACAGTACTGAAAGTACTGTAGATGTTGAAGGTACTATGGATGTGACTCTTCCAGGACTGATGAGGACAGTATAATAGCACTGCATGTGTTCTAGTCTGACATTCAATTGGAAGAGAAGAAGACGGCAGCTCCACCAGGAGCAGCGGCAGATCCACCACGACTTGTCTCAGTCAGGTTAAACGACTGACGATATGGAGGTGTATGCTTCGTATTTATTATCAAGAATCACAGAATTTCAATGATTATTGGTACAGAATACCAAATTTCTGACATTGTGACATCCCCACTGTATATACTCGCAAATCGGTCAAAGCTTCTTCCTTAAAGTTACTCTGAACTTGAGTCTTGATATATTGGATGAATTGTGTTGTTCAGTCAACAAGTCCATCAGCTTTCAAAGGCAACCAGATGAGATCATGGTTGAGATGGTGGATTGCCTTCGCTGAGCCAAGAAGATACATAGTATATTGAGTTGGCTGCTCTCCCTCCTATCATTCAGATTGCAAATACGATGATGAAGCACATCACATTTGAGTGTATGACTGCTATGTCAATAATTAATAATGATGAGAGGAAACTGATGTGATGCACTTTACTGGAAGTGGGATGATGTAGTCTTTGGTATGTTAAGTATGTTAACCTTGCTTTATCCTTTTATTAATTTGACTTTCAGATCATTGATGAGCTTGTACTTATTTTGCACTTTTTTTTTTTTTTTTTATTACTCCTACTCATTGTTCACCTCCTTAAATCTGTCTGCCTTTCTGTTTTCCCTCCTCTTTTCTAGCGGAGTGTGGGGGAACCATCAAGGATGAGCCTTCTGGTCGTATCCTGTCTCCGGGCTATCCAGCTCCCTATGAGCACAACCTGCACTGTATGTGGACCATTGAGGCCGCCCCTGGAAGCACTATTAGGTCTGAGCAACACTCTTTCCTTTTTCATGCCTTCTAGTTTTCTGATTACATTGTTCTTTCCCAGGCTTTCTTTCAATCTACCACCTTTCAATATACTTCCAATTTGCCCCCCCCCTTTTGCAGTGGTATTCATCACTTTCACAGGCTGCTGTGTAATCAATCTTCAGTGAGCTGCTGTTGGCCAATAGCTGAGTTACTACTGGGTGGGGGGAAATGCCACCACAGAGCCTCCAGGTTTTAGACTACACCAAAGAAAGTCAAGTGTTTCAAGTAAATTATGTCTTACAGATGGGTGCATGTTATTTCTTTTACCTTCACGAATTTGATGAAATGTAAGCAAGCAAAATCCTGTAATGGGGTTTGGCTCAGGGTTTCGGTTGATACCATTCTAGCCAATATAATCAACTTGAGCTTATGCTCTAGCACTGTATTTATTTACTATTATATATTGTTGATCAATATACATAGATATTAGATTAGACATTTTCTCCATAATTTCTCGTTGTCATTGTCAAGCATCTTATCAGGGTCAGGTGGTTAGGACAAAGCAGCCCAGATGCCCCTTTGCCAAACCACTTCCTGCTGGATCCCTTGATGTTTCCAAGACTGTGGGATGGTGGCATTTGTTGAGTGTGTTCTTGAGCCGCCCCAGGGTATTGATTCCCCCACAGAGAGGTCATTACCATGTGACAAAGTCAGCTTATCACCCATACTGTGTTTTTTTTTAGGCTCCTGAATAGAGTTCAGCTGGAAAACAATAGACACTCCATAGGCATCTCTTTAATTTTGTGACTCAAGTGATGGAATTTCAGGAATAATTTCATCAGTTTCCACCACCCACAGTGATGTTGCTTCCACCCTGCTCTCTTTGCCTTCGTCCATTAACTCTGCATGTATTCGTGTATTCATGTTTTTTTATCCATACATTAAATGATAATAGTACATTCATTAATGAATAAAAATAATGGTTTATGGATGTGCTCTGTCCTGTGGCTTAGAGGTAAGAGAACAGAGACCCATCATTTTCCAGTGCTATTGTATTTAGCATTAAATACAACTGACAGAAATGGTCAGTTATTTAATGCTTAATACTATAATTGTTGTGTTAATGAAACAACCTGCTTTTCTTTACCTCACCTCTTCTCACCCACCGCCACCCAACAATACAAACTGTTTCTCTTGTCCTTCCCTTTCCAAAGAAAAAAAAAAACACCTCCTGGCTTCCATGCATAACCATCCAACTTGATATAGTATATATACATATAACATAATTCAGGCTTTTAATTCTTCAAAACTAAAGTGCACTATCATAATTTGTAACAAGATGTGCATCCTTGTGGATATTGAAACCTTAACCTTGGTGGTTTTAGCATTATTCTATATCCATTAAGCCATTGAGGACTGAAGACATGTTAAGACCAGTGTCAGTCATATATCATCATGCTTATGAAAACTACCATGTTTTGACAGCGTTGAAATGGAGGACCTTTAAGCCACAGCCATGGGACATACAAAGTGTCCCTAGGTACTTGCAGGAACAGTGTTCAGGATGCAGTGCTCTTCAAGGAGGCTACTGTTAAATACATGTGTATGTGAGGGAACATGTGGAAGAGGAAGAGAATACAATAGATGGTTTAAGTGGGAGGGCTATAATCTCCTCTTTCATAAATTGGATTAACGTTTCCTAGAAGATCACATGCTCATCATAATAGAATATTGTATCTGTATTACATACATTTTTCCTATAGGCATCATTTAAGGGGACAGGAAGAGCTTTCTGACTTGAATAAAGTATTTAATATGTGGTTCATGTCTGCAGACCTCAGCAGACTATTGGTATCTGTACTCGTAATGCTCTGTAAGGCTTTGAATACAGCCATATTTAGTACTTGCTTGTTACATATGCTTTTTAGCTTCAATTTGGTCAGTGTTTCGTTTCAAGTTCAATGTGCTGGAGTAAATCCAAAGCAATGACAAATGTGCTAATACTTTGAGGCTGTAGTGTACATAGTTTTTCGTCCACTGTACTTTATTTATATTTTACCTACATTACACAGATATGTGTGGTTGTCTGCATGGATCCATTTGTGAGCGAATGTGTCTCATAGCTTGAACATCTGACATCACAAGTCCCTCATGATTGCTAGTTTAGGTTCATTAGTGCCTTCACTACCTTTGGGTCCCTGGTATTCCTCTGCAAGGTATGCTCCATATCCATGCCTTTGATCCTGCCCACGCAATTCATTATTGAGGTGAATTTGCAATGCATTAGCCCTGGGATTCTGTGTATATGAAATGGTGTAGATGAAGGTAGCACACTAATCAAACTGTACCAAGTTTGTGAGCGACCAGGAGTCGTGCCGTGTGACAGCAGACATCTCAAATGCCTATGGACTGGTTTGCCGAGAGTTATTGATGGAAAGAGAATGTAGGGGGAAGGCGGAGAGTGGAATGCAAACATAAAGAGATGATAACAGGATAAAAGGAATAGCAATGATAACAGAAGCAGTGAGCCATGTCACCGATGGTACATTCAGTAGTTACGGCTACAGAGATCAAATGAGGGATCTAGGCCACATTGTACACTGAACAATGAAGCCATATGTATTCAACTAAAAATTGGCATTTACTATTTAGAAAGAAGCATTCTCACTAAATTGACAGCTTCTGTGTTGTAAAACATGATGTACTTTGTGAGCTGTAATACAGTAGGGTGCCTTTTTGATTAACTGTTGTTCACAAGGCATTAAGAGGACCAACACAGTATGTGAAGAGGAGATAGACCATTGTTATTAGACCTGTGGTTGAACTCTGTCTATAGTAAAGTATTGCTTGCAACTAGCTGCTTAATTCCTCCTTAATTGATTTGCTGTTTCTTTTATCTAATTCCTCTTTCACACACTCCCATTGTACAGTTAAGCCAGTACCATGTATCTGTAATATTTAAATATTCAAGCCACTGATAATTTGAGATTATATACTCATCAAGATATTCATTAGGAACACCTGTACAGCTCCTTTATTTATGCAATTATTCAATCAGGCAGAGCAATGCATAAAATCATGCAGATACAGGTCAGGAGATTCAGTTATTGTTCACATTAAACATCTGAATCTCAGTGACTTTGACTGTGGTGTGACTGTTGGTGCCAGACAGGCTGGTTTGAGTTTTTCTGAACCTGCTGATCTGCTGGGATTTTCTCACACAACAATCTCAAGAGTTTCCTTAGAATAGTGTGTAAAAAAAAAAAAAAAAAAAACCCATCCAGTGAGCAGCAGCTCTGAAGATGGAAAAGCCTTGTTGATGAGAGAGGTCAGAGGAGAATTGGCAGACTGGTTTGATCTGACAGAACGGCTACGGTAACTCAGATAACCACTCCTGTCAGCCAAGAACAAAAATCTGAGGCTGCAGTGGACACAGACTCACCAAAACTGGACAGTTGAAGACTGGATAAAAGGTATCCTGTCCTGATGAATCTGGATTTCTGCACAGGCACACAGATGGTAGAGTCAGAATTCATCATCATCAACATCAACAGCATGAATCCATGGACCCAACCTCCCTTGTGTAAACAGTCTAGACTGGTGGTGCAATGGTGTGGGGAAGGTTTTCTTGGCACACTTAGGCCCCCTTAATACCAATATATCGTGTTTTGAACGCAACAGCCTATCTGAGCATTGCTGCTGACCATGAGCACCCCTTTATGGCCACAACTTACCATCCTCTAATGACTACATCCAGCATGGTAACGCACCATGTTTTAAAGCAAACATCGTCTCTAACTGGTTTCATGAACGTGGCAGTGAGTTCAGTGTACTTCAGTCACCAGATCTGAATCCAATAGAACACCTTTGGGATGTAGTTTAACAGGAGAAGCATGAATGTGCAGCTGACAGATCTACAGATATGATTTGATACAATCATGTCAACATGGAGCAGAATCCTGTGGAATCCATGCCACAAAGTGCTGAGGCTTGAGAGCAAAGGGAGAACCTACCCAGTATTAGTATGGTGTTCCTAATACACTTCTTGGTGCGTGAAGTTGCCTTTCAGAAACGGTTGTATATAACCGCAGTGCTTTCTGTTGATAAGGCTCGGCTTTTAATGGGAAAATCTATTGTTAAACCAAATGCTCTGTGCTAATCCAGTGATTTTGGACAGTAAAGTCAACATACAGCTGTCTCTTGAGATCTGACTAGCAGTATTTCCTCAAATCCCAAGCAAATCTCAGTGGATATCAAAATAATTTCTTAGCTGTTTTTTTTTTTTTTTTTTCATTGTCTGGATTTGTCTCCAGATAAGATCATCAGCACAGTCTGCGCTGCTGAGCCTAAGGAGAGAATTGTTCAAATATCAGCTCTTAAATACTTACAGGATGGAGATCCTTTTTGGGGGTGGACTTTTCCTTTAAGGAGCCACCTATTCCACTTTTCCAAAGCAGTGCATCACCAGTCATGCTCTATCACAGAAACTGTGCCCTCAGTCTCAAATGAATGTGCATGTATATTTCATTGGGTTTGCCCAACCCAAAACATGGTTTCATATGTATATATTTGTGTGTGTGTATGCGTGCATGTTAGAGAGTGTTTCTTTTTATACAGTGAAGTTATATTGGCTTGCCTGCTTTTTGAAGGTGGTATTTTTAGAATATGGAGTTGGCTGTTTTTAATAAGATTTAGGTTCAGGTTAGGCAAAGATTTGAGATTGTGTTGAGGGATAAGGAATGAATTTGATAAATGGATGGTGGTCATAAGTGAAAGGTGGTGTGTGTGTGTGTGTGTGTGTGTGTGTGTGTGTGTGTGTGTGTGTGTGTGTGTGTGTGTCTGTGTGTGTGTGTGTGTGTGTGTGTGTGTGTTTTCTCGTTTTTAACCACTTCTTTTATCTCTGATTCATTTCCCAATTTCACACCTCTTCCTGCGTGAAAAGAATTGTGAACTGTCTTTTATCTGTATGATAACACTACTGACACGTTATTACATCATGCGCCTCACAGTGCTTG